AAGGGACTGTCGGTGTCATCTTCACCATTGCAGGCCTCTTCGATCATCTGAATCTGATCTGTCACAGACGCCGTTGTGTCTCCTCCGCATGTCTCGGAGGTTTTTCGTTGCTGCTCTGGTCAGAGAAACAGTTTTGCAAGTCTCGCTTCTCCTCTTCTGGGCTGATGGTGGGTTGGTGGTGGTGAGGTCTTCCCAGATGCCCTTCGGATCTGGGCCCACATTTTGCCGAGGGAGTGTGTGCCTGTTCAGTTCGTAGTACCTTGAGCCAGCTTGCACTTATGATTTCTTCCTTCTCTTCCCTGGTATCCTTGACTATGTCTTGCAGGAGATGTCTGTTTGTGTCCTGGGATGTCTTCTGTAGTTTTTGGGCCATGTTTTCTGTGGTTGAGTTCTTTCACCCTGGGACAGTGTGCACAGTAATCCTTATACTGTCTTGATGTAGGCTTTGTTTTTGAATAGCCTCTTCTGCCCTTTTGGTGAAACGCCTTTGACCAACTGTTGGAGGGTTGTTTCTGCCCGAGGTGCTGCACCAGCCAGCTGTAATTTGTGCGCCACTTAGCCAGGTGTTTCTATAGAGTTCCCATTCCACCTTTTGGGGATTGTATTTCATATCGGTGGGGTTGGCATGGGGAGTTTGTTCACCTTCAGTGTTGTTAGGGTAGTAAAGTGGTCGCTGGTCAGCGTGGGGTGTAGCTGCTAGGAGGCTTGTAGTCCACTGGAGACGAAGGTTAGATTTAGCCTTCCTCCCCTAATGTCCGCACACAGAAAGCGATACCAGCTGCAGGCCTTCCACGAAGCCCTGAAAACCAAGAAAAACGCCATCCACAACACCTCCGCCGCCCCAACAACACCACCACTGCCACCGCCACCGAGGACGACAACTGGACGAAGGTTGAAAACAAAAAACGCTGACGTGCTTTTTTGGGAAACTAAATCCGTCAAACAGCCCAAAAGGCACCCATCACCACCACCAGCTTGTCCCCAACGGCACTGCCAAAATTCAGGATCTCGAAAATGAACACGAAAACGATGTATGCCGCCATCGCAGAGATGGAGAAACAAAACCCACTTGCTAAGTTCTCAGTGCGGCCAGACCTAAAGGGGGAGATGATTATTCACCCCAAAGACAAGGACTCCGCTACCACCCTCGACACATATCTGAAAAATACCACCGCCAAGCATCAACCAAACTGGACCCCGCCCAGAAACTGATGAAGTCGGTAGTCCTCCGGTACCCAAAGGAGCTACCCCTCGAACCCCTGGAGAACCACCCGAAGATCCTAAAGCCGAGAGATGCTCTCCCCACCGACAAGATGGCCACCACAAAACAAGTGTCATAACGCACCACGTCCATCCCCAGCACCATAGACTCAAACTGTAGGCGCGTAAGGGGTCTGTCCAGAACCCGTGCTTCAGATGCCAGAAATACGGGCACCATCAGATGAGGTGCGACAGGAAATCTGCGCATTCGCGAAGCATGGCACACACTTCTGCCTCACCTAGTTGAAGAATGGGGAAAAATTGCCCCAAGTGTACCAACTGGGGAGCAAACACCACGCCTGGACCCTGGATGCCCAGGCGAGGGTCCAAGTAAACCACCAGCACCACCTCCAGCAACAAGACCGCCTCACTCCAACAAAAATAAAACCAACCTATGAACCGTTAGCACCCAAAGGCGTCAGTTTCCTGGCCTCTACGGCCACACCTCAGCCCCCAAGCAGCAGACAACGACAACAACGAAAAATATAAAACGGACACCAAGGCACCAGAAGGAATGATACACGTATCAGACCTAGCTAAGGTACTGACAACCTTCGTGGATGGCCTAGCCGGACTACTGGGCCAAAAGATCCAGCCCACAGCCTCCAAATATCATGGGGAGCGTCTCGGCAGTCGCCACCTCCGCCACCCTCAGTGGACGACACCATGCCGGCCCCATACGAGTGACAGCCGAGGTACACTTTACACCGAAAAAGGCCACCAGGGAACCAAAGATACCGTCAGCTCCAAGAAAGAAACTGGACGTTTCAACTCCCCTGAACCGAATCACGGCCCAGAAGGCAAAAACCACCACAGAACAAGAAGATATGAACATGATCCAGTCGGAACCAGACCTGAACATATCCATCGAGGACCACCAGAAGTCCCCGATGAAACAGTGGTGGAAAACACCAGCACCCTCAACATCCTTTCATGGTGTGCTCAGGGCATCAAAAACAAGAAACACCTGCAAGAAGCAGCAGCCAAGGACAAGCTTGACATTATACTGCTACAAGAAACACTCCTACAAGAACACCACTGTTTCAAATTGAATGGCTACAAGACATACAGGAGGCATTTCACGCAGACGTCGACAAGAGGATGTATGATCTTGGTCAAGTCAAGCATACCCTCCTCCGAGATCATGCAGCATTTGCCATGTGGGGAAAACATTGAGACACAGGCCATCAAAGTAACCCTCCAAGAACGGGAAATAACTGTTCACAACATCTACAAGAACCCAAGGGGCTCACTGGAGGTGACTCAATTATTCGCTTCAGCCGCTGACCACGCCACACTCGTAGGAGGGGATTAAAATGCACATCATCCCTTCCTAAGCTCGGTAAGCCCCACAAATGAAGATGGCCTACACCTATACACCACCTTTCAAGACACACCCGAGATCGCCTTCATGGTGAGGCAGGGGGGTATATAGACGATTCTGCCGGATCAGGTTCAGAGGTGTGAGGTGAGCGGCGCCGCTGATTGACTGGGCGACGACGGGAGAGGAGTTGTAGGGAGAGCAGATCACTACACCACCATTGGTTGAGTCAGTTCAAGGGACTCATCGCCTCGGAGAAAGGAATTACGATCGTTCATAGAATATTGGGATTATTTCCCCTGAACTCTGGGTAGATGTTGTCATGTAGATAGATAGAAATTACCATTGCAATAAATATATTTGCCGACTAGACATGATAGTAACCAACTGGCTTAGCCATGTTAATATTGTTATTATTATTGACTCTGTATCTATGTTTTTCTGGCTAAATAAACTGTTTCAATATCAATGTTGTCTCCTTCCTCCTTTTCAAATAATTTTACAGTGTTTATTTTACTCTAATATTTGTATACACGTTTACTCATGCCAGTTCGAAAACTTCCCCGAGCTCCTAGTCAGACCTTAGGTTTATGGTAATGCGTGGCAAGTCCCTAGTGCCAGGCCTGTCTCTAGGAGGAGGGATATCTGGTCAGGGAGACGTGAGGTGGAGGAGAGTCGGGTTGACCAAAAAATTTATGAACAGTGTGGCCAGGCTCAGGGTTGACAATGTACTCCCATAAGTAACCTAAGACTATATATATAGTCTTTGATAAGTGCCCTAGGCGCAGTCTCATGTATACAATCTGTTGGGATCGAGTCAGAGATTGATACTCTTTGTAGTGGCGGTTGTCATCACCGGTCACAGCGTCATCCAGGGGATCCTGACCCCTCTTTTCACCAGAAAATTCCAATTCCTTTTCTTTAATGCAGTGCTGTACTCAGCTACCCTGAGAGATTGGAGCGCCTGAACTTGCCTAGCTTATACTACAGACGGGCAAGGGGTGACCTAGTTGAGGTGTATAAGCATCTCAAGGGGCACTACTCAGTCGAGTGTCCTTACTTGGAGCTGGCGGACGCTCGCCCCACAAGGGGTCACAGCTCAAGATTGAAGAAGCCGCAAGTCCAGAAAACCGTGAGGGCAAACGTTTTCGGAGTGAGAGTTGTGAATTCTTGGAACAATCTACCAGAGAGTGTTGTGACAGCACCGAGTGTGAGCTGTTTCAAGACCAGACTTGACCAACACTGGAGCAGGTTCAGGTACATCCAGGAGCCGGTGCATGCCCAGTACTTGCCAACAGTGCGTGACAGAGACGTGACCGACCACCCAAGCGGCTAACGAGCCGATCAGTGGTGAAGAGAATTTTTTTTTACGGGGATTAGCCCAAACAGGCACAGGTCACTGACCCACATCGGGGCGTGGGGGGCGAAAATGTTAAAATAATAAAGAACCATAAAGAAATAAAAAAGAATAAAAAGTGAGGAACAATATATGTACAGTATGTTGTGTTGTCAATAGTAAGAGAAACAATTGAGACTGCAATTGAGTATAAATGTGGCAGAAAGTCACATCATAAACCTGGGACTTGGTCACAATTTTCGTGATGCTGTGGGATACGAGATATTGGTTCACACTCAGGATGGGATGGAGAAAGGAAACTCACAATGTGCTCTCTGTATACATATTATATTGGATGTACAATGCAGCTTGGTGGCTGGTGCTGGGAGGAGGCAGCGTGAGTCCAAGCGTGATGTAGAGAGAGCTGGTTGGTGAGGGTGCTCAGAGGAGGACCAGCAGCTTGTAGGGCGGCATAGTCGCCGGCGGGAGCGAGGGCCACCAGGCAGGAGCGAAGGAGGTGTTGCTTACTGGTGGCTGTAGGCAGAAAGAGAGGGGTCACGGCCACGTGCGGTCTTATATAGCGGAGGTAGGCCTGGCTTGATAGGCGGCGCTGGTTGCCGACCTTGACCACGAGGCGCAAGCTGGGGAATTCGAGGGTCAGCTAGTCAGCGACAACGGCGGTTGTAGGGGAGGAATCCACTGCAATGCCACATGGCAGCAGGGTCTACCATATATATATATATATATATATATATATATATATATATATATATATATATATATATATATATATATATATATATATATATATATATATATATATATATATATATATATATATATATATATATATATATATATATATATATATATATATATATATGCATTTTTTATTTGAACTTTATTAGCATAATTTGCACTCCTTTGTCCTGATTCCTGAGCATATATAATTGAGGAACAAAGTAAATTGTATATATGACTGACGAAATTAAAATAAAATAATTAAATAATAGATATATATCTGTGAGTAAGATAATTTATGTTAATGAAGGTAAAAAAGTTTAGGCTGGTGGAGTCCTGTGAGTAACCAGTTGTCCAGTCAGCTGTGTTGTGAGTGACGCGTCTCACAGCTGACGGCGGTGTGTCAGCTGAGCCTCCCACAGGTCAGACACACTCTCTTTTATATAACATTTAATTACTTCTCATTACAGGAATAATATCACATAGTTGTGAAATAAGTCATAGAGAGTAATAAGTATAAAATATGGAGAGATAAAAGACACTTGGCAGTACTGTACACCTTGTGGTATGTTGTCATGCCATCCCTCCAGTCCAGTCAGTCCTCTGTTAGTGACTGGCAGTGTGTCAGTGGCAGTCAAGGATCACCACAGCTGGAGATTGTTAGTTAAGTGGTGACTCGTTTTATGTATACCTGACCACGTATGTTTGTATATTTGATCACTAAGAGTATATGGACCAGTTTATATATTTTAAAGCTTTATAAATGGGTAAATATTCCTTAAGAGACCATTCACAGATATTAGAATAAAAAATGTTTTTGAAGGTATGACCTCCCCCCTCCCTCCTGCCACTGCCAACACCGTGAGGTAAAAACATGCAAAAACCACTTAACCTAACCTAACCTATCCTATCCTATCCTATCCTATCCTATCCTATCCTATCCTATCCCCCTGATATGGGTATTTTTGCGTTTACACATTCCTACCACTAATCTATTATCATATTCTAATATGACGTCAAACTATAAGATCATTTTCATCTATTTCATTACCGTCGCAAATGTATAATAACGGAGATAGCATATCCAAAAGTTTCTCTACTTTCTTCCATTAATCTTCCGCCATTATCGCCTGCCTCACCTCCCACACTGCGTGTCTCCTGCGTCTCCTTCATAAATCATCACGCGCATGTGTTCCCGTACACGTCACGCGACCAATCAAAAGCTTTTTTTTTTTTGCAACCAATTAAAATGATGTGGTTTAATTCGCTGTATTTTTGGCCCAATCAAAATCGATTTTATTTTGGGTCTCATATTTCAAATTCAAATTCATTTCCCACCATGGAAGTCTGTGATGGGTGTCACTTCAATTATATGGAGCTGATTGCGAGTTGTGGGAAAAAAATGAAGAAACTATAGCATTTTTTCGATCGCATGGTGTTCTTCCAACCTCAGTAAAGTGTACTAAGAGCAAGACAATGTAAATATCGCAGACCAACATATGTGGCGTTGGGTAAGAATCTGAGAATCCAACGACGAACAAGAACCAGCCCAATAAGGTAAGAAATAGGCGATTCCATCATATGGTGAGAGTCAGTTAGGTTAGGTTAGGTTAGGTTTTTGTCCACTATAAAACACAGTGAAATTGTTGTGTTTTTAAATTCGGTTTCTATGAAAAAATAGCGGCTGTGAAGGCATAAATAATTACCATAACTTTACCTAACCAAAACTTACCTTAACAAAAGCTTTTACAATCCACATCAAACAGACCCTCGATATAATGGACTTTCATCTTCATTTAGTTCATTAGATGGAGGTTTCACATCTACCGGACCCTCGACTTAACGGTCTTTCATCTTTATGTACTGTAGTTCGTTCAGTAGCGTTTACACTGTACAGAGCGACAAGTTTCCCATGCTGATAGGTGTAATTTGTCCAACCATAAACCCACAAATGTGAGATCTCATTTTCTTGGGAAATGTCTGTTGCTGAAGTACCAAGTGTGGCGATGAAACAGACAGTCACACCTTTACTGAACCAAGGAGAAGAGTGAGCCCTGAAGATGTCAACAGTTGCTGCTTCGTTCTCAAATACACTGAATAACGCGCCAGTCTCCCCACGAGCAATCTTCACAGGGAGACGCCATCTTGCCACTAATTCAAATTCGTGTGACATCAAGACTTGTGCTGATTGGCCGAGTAAGAATAAAAATTAAGCGTACCGTACATATGTAAAGTTTTAAATTAAAAAAAATATTAATTAAGGCATATGTTACGAGAGTACAGTACAGTACAGTACTTTGTTTCTGCCAGGATTAGGATTAACTCATTGTCAGTGGAAAATACCATATTGTAGGTAGTCACATAAACTTGTATGAAAAACACCCTTTTTGCCACTAATGTAAATGGCGTATGAATTCTGAAGACGCATTAAGGAAACAATCCTTATATTTTGTTTAGATTAGGTGAAAGGAGTTATGAGCAGTGATTCATCACCCACAGCTTAACATTGCCTGCCTTACATTACGAGAACAAACCAACCACTCATAAGAGTGTGGGGAGCTCATTTCAATGCTGCTGAGAATTACATAATTTTCTGTAAGTTATGTTAGGCCTTTACTACATTACCTAAGATCTATAAATGCTATTTTGACATCTTCACCAAACCAGACATGAATCTAATTATCCTTGTATCCTTGTTTTGTAGTCAAATTATATTTCTATATTGTATACTGTAGTCAAATTATTTTTGTAAGATGAGCTATAATTTATAATGAACCTTATGAATATGAAACAGGATTTGGTTAAATGATTATTTCTTTGTAAATCTATATATTTATTCTAAACTGATGGGAACAAAACAGATTGCCAATTTGGTTATATATAAAATTAAATTTTATAAAACAAAATAACAAAACATGATGATAACTCACTAAGTAGAAATGAATGAGGAAGTTATTTACAAAATCTATAAAATAGAAAAAACAATGTAAAAATAAGCTCAATGTTACAGGTCTGTCAATGAGCTCAAGAGAAAAACAGAACTTGGCTGTCAATGAACACACTTCAAGAATCTGTTTACATATCTTAAGTCCCTGCTGGTGCTGTTCACCTTCTGCTAGTGCACTAAAGTCATCTGCCTTAGCTAAGACCATATGTACAAAGCAATTTAAGTTTGTTGGAGTCAGTGATCTTGGACACTTAAAGTCCATCTCTGTTAGCCGGAACTCTCCAAGGCCCAGGATTGAAATTGGCTCGGATTTCTTCGAGGCGTATTTTCTGAAAATTCCAGAAACTGCATTTTCACTGGTCTGAGCAAAATCCGAGGATAAAATAATTATTCGTGATTTTACGGGAAGTCTCCAAGTTTTTCTGTTCCGAGTCTGGGAACCAATTCCAAGGTTAGGTTAGGTAGCAATTTCCAGAATCTTCCCATTGACTGGAAAAATTTCACATCATCCATGACACCAAGAATTATTTTTTCAGTATTGGTGAAAGGTGAATAGTCAGCTGTATCTCCAACTGTAAGTGAAAATAGTAAAGGCATTAATATTGTGTTAGTTAAATTTGTGAATTTTTCAATACTGTATCTTTATTTATGAGGGTTACCGGTAATATTTATAATTTTTCAACACCTACATATTCTGGGTAATTTGTCTGTTGAAATAATAAAAACAAATAAATTTTCAATGGAAACTCAGATTTTTTCAGTTTCATATACAGTACAGTACTATATTGTTCAAGCATTTCCGACTTACGACCATTTCAACTTACGACCTGGATGTCGGTCCCTAACCCCGTCGTAAGTCGGGGAGCAGCTGTACATATATATACTGTACAGTATAATATGACCTGATAGGCTGACCTGTGATACAACCTTACAGTGTTAGTGCTTGTGGCCAGAAGAGGTCATTGAGCCCTGACGTACACGTCTCTCGCTGCTTCCCACGCCCCAGCCATCCTCCTGACTCGCCTTTACTGTACTACCGCCTGGGAAGATATTGGAAGCATAATGTGTTGTCTAATGGTAGACCCTGCTGCCATGTGTGACCAAGTCCCAGGTTGATGATCTGACTTTCTGCCTCGTTTACACACAATTGCAGGGTCTCAATTGTTTCTCTTGCTATTGACAACACAACGTACATATATCGTTTCTCACTAATCTTTTTTTTTAATTTCGTTATGGTTCCTGATTATTATTATTATTATTATTGTTATTATTATTATTATTATTATTGCAGTATTTTCAGTATTATTATTATTATCATAATTATTTTATTTTTATTTTTGTATTTTTTATAATAAATTTTACTTATCTGAATTATTATTATTATTACTATTACTATTATTATTATTATTATTATTATTATTATTATTATTATATTATTATTATTATTGTTATTGTTATTACGTTTTCGCCTCCCGGGCTCTGATGTGGGTCGGTGACCTGTGTCCGGGTGGGCTAGTACCCGTAAAAAAAAAAGTAAAAGGGGGAGGGGGGGTTATTGTTTAGATTTAGTCAATGTTTTATCTGGTGTGATTGTGACAAGAGAAAGATTATGTTTATTGTATCAGTGAGGGAGCTGGAACCTTCTGGTACACTCGTACAATTGTTATCTACTTCACCAATAAAAAGGTGACCACAGCCAGTGGGAGTCTATAGCTGTGGTGACTACTGTACTGTGCACCATACTATATAGCTGTGGTGACCACTGTACTGTGCACCATTCTATATAGCTGTGGTGACTACTGTACTGTGCACCATACTATATAGCTGTGGTGACTACTGTACTGTGCACCATACTATATAGCTGTGGTGACTACTGTACTGTGCACCATACTATAGCTGTGGTGACTACTGTACTGTGCACCATACTATATAGCTGTGGTGACTACTGTATTGGTGTGCACCATACTATATAGCTGTGGTGACTACTGTACTGTGCAATCTACCATATAGCTGTGGTGACCTCACTGCACAGGCAATCATACTAGAGTATAGCTGTGGGTGACTACTACTGCACCATACTATATAGCTGTGGTGACTACTGCACTGTGCACCATACTCATAGCTGTGGTGACTACTGTACTGCGCACCATACTATAGCTGTGGTGACTACTGGTACTGTGCACCATACTATATAGCTGTGGTGACCACTGTACTGGTGCACCATACTATATAGCTGTGGTGACTACTGGTACTGTGCAATTCATACTATATAGCTGTGGTGACTACTGGGTACTGTGCACCATACTATATAGCTGTGGTGACTACTGTACTGTGCACCATACTATAGCTGTGGTGACTACTGTACTGTGCACCATACTATATAGCTGTGGTGACTACTGTACTGTGCACCATACTATAGCTGTGGTGACTACTGTACTGTGCACCATACTATAGCTGTGGTGACTACTGTACTGTGCACCATACTATATAGCTGTGGTGACCACTGTACTGTGCACCGTACTATATAGCTGTGGTGACTACTGTACTGTGCACCATACTATAGCTGTGGTGACTACTGTACTGTGCACCATACTATATAGCTGTGGTGACTACTGTACCAGCAATCATACCATAGCTGTGGTGACTACTGTACTGTGCACCATACTATATAGCTGTGGTGACTACTGTACTGTGCAATCATACTATAGCTGTGGTGACTACTGCATGTGCACCATACTATAGCTGTGGTGACCACTGTACTGTGCACCATAATATATAGCTGTGGTGACTACTGTACTGTGCAATTCATACTATAGTTGTGGTGACTACTGCACTGTGCGCAACTACATCATAGCTGTGGTGACTACTGTACTGTGCACCATACTATGTAGCTGTAGATTACTGTACTGTGCACCATACTATAGCTGTGGTGACTACTGTACTGTGCACCATACTATAGCTGTGGTGACTACTGTACTGTGCACCATACTATAGCTGTGGTGACCACTGTACTGTGCACCGTACTATATAGCTGTGGTGACACTGTACTGTGCACCATACTATAGCTGTGGTGACTACTGTACTGTGCACCATACTATATAGCTGTGGTGACTACTGTACTGTGCACCATACTATATAGCTGTGGTGATTACTGTACTGTGCACCATACTATAGCTGTGGTGACTACTGTACTGTGCACCATACTATATAGCTGTGGTGACAACTGTACTGTGCACCTTTCTATATATTGGTGGACTGCAGTGAGCTGTGGTACAGACCTCAGCATCTCTCCCTGAATTTTTTATTTTTTTTAAGTACATCTGTAATTAGTTTTATTTAAAATTTTCTTTTGTTATAAATAATTTGATGTAAAATAATACAGGACACATTTTTTTACCGTTCCTTCCATCCAGGTCTTGGTCACTTATGATGTGTGTGTGACTGGTCCTCCCTCCACCAATAGGGTAACCCTGGTGTGTACTGCCACATCACTGTTTAAGTTTAAGATTTATAGAGTTAAAAATCTTTTGGTTGGAGAACATATTTTTTATAATATAGGTTATGGGTAAGAAATATGGAATCTGAAATTCATTTTAGTAAGGATTCTCCTTATGGACGCTATCCCAAGAGCATATGATGTCCTTTATCACTCGTTAACCATACTGCAACAAATGTAGTCACCCACAAAAGTGCTGTTGCCGCTCCATCAATACCAAGAGTCACACCGAAGCAGTAAATATTGATGCATTATTCTGTCCATAAATGGTTCTGTGTCTTGGAGTTAATGGTTCAGGAGGAGAGATGTGGGTGACTGTATGTGTACTGTCATTGTGGGTGACTGTATGTGTACTGTCATTGTGGGTGACTGTATGTGTACTGTCATTGTGGGTGACTGTATGTGTACTGTCATTGTGGGTGACTGTATGTGTACTGTCATTGTGGGTGACTGTATGTGTACTGTCATTGTGGGTGACTATGTATACTGTCATTGTGGGTGACTGTATGTGTACTGTCATTGTGGGTGACTGTATGTGTACTGTCATTGTGGGTGACTGTATGTGTACTGTCATTGTGGGTGACTGTATGTATACTGTCATTGTGGGTGACTGTATGTATACTGTCATTGTGGGTGACTGTATGTATACTGTCATTGTGGGTGACTGTATGTGTACTGTCATTGTGGGTGACTGTATGTATACTCGTCATTGTGGGTGACTGTATGTATACTGTCATTGTGGGTGACTGTATGTGTACTGTCATTGTGGGTGACTGTATGTATACTGTCATTGTGGGTGACTGTGTATACTGTCATTGTGGGTGACTGTATGTATACTGGGTCACATTATGGGTGACTGTATGTGTACTGTCATTGTGGGTGACTGTATGTATACTGTCATTGTGGGTGACTGTATGCATACCGTCATTGTGGGTGACTATGTATACCGTCATTGTGGGTGACTGTATGTGTACTGTCATTGTGGGTGACTGTATGTGTACTGTCATTGTGGGTGACTGTATGTGTACTGTCATTGTGGGTGACTGTATGTATACTGTCATTGTGGGTGACTGTATGTATACTGTCATTGTGGGTGACTGTATGTATACTGTCATTGTGGGTGACTGTATGTATACTGTCATTGTGGGTGACTGTATGTATACTGTCATTATGGGTGACTGTATGTATACTGTCATTGTGGGTGACTGTATGTATACTGTCATTGTGGGTGACTGTATGTATACTGTCATTGTGGGTGACTGTATGTATACTGTCATTATGGGTGACTGTTGACTCACAATTCGTTTCTTTGTCATCTGTAATGTTATTAAGATTTTCTCACTGACTGACACACATGGTATTCTCTACAGATGGGGGACCGAGGCAGAGGTCGGGGCAGGAAGGGTCCTGGAGGAGGTGGAGTGTGGGGAAGCTCCAAGAATGACACGAGCTCCTCAGCCCCCAGTGAGGGGTTTTGGGCACACAGTCCCTCCACTCACCACCGTCCACCAGCCCCCAACAAGCCTGGTGGCAAGAAAGGCAACATTCAGTCCTCGCAAAAACCAGTTCACACAGAGGAGGAGACGAAGTTGGTCCATAAATTTTTGTTGAGTGTAACTGAATCATGTAACTGCACTGTAATCTGTACACAAAGTTTGTCCGGTACAGAATGGTTTTAAGTTTGTAATTTTGAGGAGGTTATTCGCATGACTAGAAACATTCTTGTATTGACTACATCTAGAAGGCAACATTCCTTCAGATCCTTGCTGTAACACAATTGTTTTAGTTAAAAAAAACTTGTGTTTATACCAGTTACCTATGTTGCTGTTGCACACTTGCTTCACTAAATGTTTTATCTCAACAGATGACTTGTTCACCTCAACAGTAGAGACACCGTGACACAATCTGCGACTACATTAAATATACTACAGTATTGCTAACATATTCAGTGGTTCATGGGCAAACTGTCTCTTTTGTCGATATTTATTGATAATTATTGTGGCACTTATCAGCTTACGAACCTTTTCGAGAGTTGTTCCCTTCTTTGTTGTGACCTTTGTTGTCTAATGGTAGTACAGGAGGAAAATTGCTATACTGCATTTGTTAGTGAGGGTCACAGTAGATAACACACTTCTCACATCTGTCCTGGGCTGGGGATTGATCCCAGGATGCGGCTCTACATTCATTTGTTCACAGTTTTTTCATCATTTTATCAGGTTAATTGGTACATCCAGCTGCTCTGAGGAAAATTGCAGAAGCTTACTCACATGACTGATGTTTGTCAGGATGTCATACCAAACCACTGAGCACATAAGGAAGTGCAAGGCTCCAACCAAAGCTTGAACTTCTACTATTGTTAGTGTACAGTATTTCTGTCTCACTTCTAACAGTGTTTCTCTTATTTCATTAAACTGAAATCTGATAGCCTCTGTGCTTTCCCATCTCAGTTCATTGAGCGATTGTGTTGCTGCTGAGGAAAAAGTAGAGTTACTGAACATAACCACAGTAACCAATGGCATCAAGTGAAAGTTTTGCTGCATCAGCTGCCACCAGACTCGGTGTGTGTGTGTGTGAGGTCCACAAGGAACAAGCACAGCTGCAGTAGTTTTGGTTCAACACCTTAGTTTTCCCTCTCATGTTTGAACCATCTTTGTATGGTTGTCCTCAGCTGTCATCAAACACAACACAGTATTCAGCTCTTCAAGCTTCTACAAAATGGAACTTGGCAATTAAGTCCGGTTGTTTCTTGTACAGTACTGTACTGTATTGTACTGTACTGTATTGTACTGTACTATATTGTACAGTAACTCACTTAACTCTCGCCAATATGTCAAGGGTTTGAGCCTCGGCCCGGACACATGTGAGAAAGGTGTTGTGACCCTCACTACTAAACACCACAGGTTTCCTCCTGTACTAACACTGGATAGACCAACCAAACGGCTAGTAAGCTGATAAGTGGCCAATATGATATCAATGAAATACCGTACTCTTTAATTTCTGGCATCTGTAGTGACACTTGTTATTATGAGTGACATGTGTTTCTGGTGGCTAACATCTGGGGTGCAGACCAGTAGGTTCTAAACTCCCAGATCTGTGACACAATGATTTGTTCTGAGTAGTGAACATGTCCAGTGTGTTGTTCCATTATTGGCTTGTACAAAGTGTGTGAAGAGCCCCAGAGAGCAAGGTTTCTTTCAGCAGTGTCAGTGTACCCTGTATATCTCAGGTTCAGGCATTAACATCTACTTAGCAATATTATCAGTGTACAGCATAGTCTTATATTTACCAACCACTTCAGGAATAGTTCACTAAAAGCAACATGTTCAGTGTTTATTATTTAACAAGTGTGGAGTGTCTGACAGTAACCAACGCGGCAACTAAGAGTGTTTGTCAATTAAGTTTTGTCTGCCACTTGGTCTTTGTACAATTTGCCACTCCAGACACTTGGCCACTGGTTACTTTAATAAAACTAACTTATAAAACCTAACCTAACAAATTTTAACATAGCTGACTAATCTTATAGATCAAGTCCAGCTTTACTAAACTCAATACTGTGTGTATTGATCCTTTACTGCTGGTCAGTACACGTGCCGGGCAACAACTGAATGGCCAGTAAGTGAAATCATGCCAACGTAAAGTTATTTTTGTTGCCTCGGGCGAGTGGGCGTATGGCAATTTCCATCGCTGTTAATGTATGTTTTATGTTCCTTGTATTCCATTTTTTGCAGAGTTGGGGATGTGTTAGGGAATCTATACTCATTCTTTAGTTGGTATGAATGAATTTTTAATAAGAACTTAAGGATTTTCTTTGATGTGTGGTAATAACCTTGGTACTGTATAAGCCAGCCTGGGTAGTTACAGTAAATATATGAGTCATAATTTCTGCCATAAGACTGATCTCCAACAAGAGTGTTTTAACAGGTGCACACTCTTGATACCCGGACTCACTCTTAGGTACACAGCTCAGTACAGTATTGTAAGGACCTGAGATTCTGGGAGTTAAATTATTGATTGTTATGCCCCACGTAACATCTGTACCACACCACACAACATCTGTACCACACTACATAACACCTGTATCACACCACATAACACCTGTAACACCACATAACACCTGTAACACACCACATAACACATGTACCACACCACATAACACCTGTACCACACCACATAACACCTGTACCACACCACATAACACCTGTACCACACCACATAACACCTGTACCACACCACATAAGTTGCTTGCATTTTCGCGGCCAGGACAGGGAGCCATTCGTTCTAGAGACACTAACTTCTTTTACTATACTGTACCTGTATGGTGTACTGTATGGGACGGAGTTGACTTGAGGAGAGACTCACACATTTTTAATACATTTGTTTATGATTATTTGTGAGAGGATTTTCCCATTATTATTTGTATGAGCTTCAAAAAGTGTTTTTCTACACACACACACACACACACACACACACACACACACACACACACACATGTACTGTATATAATATTGGTAAAAGAAATAATTGTCCAAAGATCAAACACATAAAGGGAATACCTATACATTTTTTTGCACACAAGTAAAAATGCCCCCGTCCCACCCCCCCGTCCCACCCTGCCCCAGTCAGCAAATGTTATTCACAGATTTGGCTATTTGTGGCCATTTTGAGAACCTAACCCCCGCAAATTTGAAGGGCCTACTGTATGTTGTTACTTGTAATGAAACTGGAAAAATCCTTAAAATACTCTACGTGTATGTGGGAAGTGAGTGTGTTGAGGCAGTGGATTATGGCTGTAACTGCATTGCTGCAATCCATATAGATATGACAACACGGCATACACATAGCTGGTCCAGCGTGAGCCACACGTGTTTGAGTCAGCTGAACTGTGTTTCACTGGCCAGAGGATGGTTTGAGTGTGGAAAGAGCCATTTTTGGTACATAAAATATGTGCTATTGTATTTTATTATATACCTGTACTATGTAGCAATTTTAATGTGGCAGCTCATCACCATTGAGCGTGGTATTCAAACTTACTATTCTTGCCAATTTTGGAGGAATTTTTATTGTTATTATTATTCATTTCTGTGTCGGTTAATTAAATCTACCCGAGATTCTACCGTGTGTGTATTACATAAAGGTATATACCTGCACATAACGACATTAGTACTATACCTCATGTACAGTGCTATCATAAAAGGGTTCAGATCAGATATGTATGTAGCAAATTTTGTCACGCCGGCTGACCTCTCCATTACCACCACTGTGTCTAGTGGGTTTGTGTTACAGTCTAAGGTAATTGCTCTCGCCATGGATCTAAACCCTGGTGTATTTGCTATCCTACATAAATCATAACAAAATACATACAGGTACTGAAGCCCGTTCTTAACACCAAGGTACATATGACAGGTACCCGTTTTACACATAACTCCTGTGTGGTAAATGAGATCCTTCCCAGGACTAGTTCTGCGTCTGGCATCATTAGGTCGCTTAAAGTGGCATCTGTGAGCACCTCAAATAGCACCATCATTTTCTCCTATCCTGATGTATGGGATGTTCAGAGGTTCATAGGGGAGGTTGCATAGTCACCCTAAGCATTACCCACAACACCAGGTGGGTTCCTCAAAGTAGAGCACTGGTTGCTGTGTCAAGCATTCCCTCCGACCTCACTGGTCTTCCTCTGCTTGCAGGAGTGTACACCTGTGTGGATGAGATGTGGAGCCCAACTGAGTGTAATTAATGTTTACTGGCCTAATGGGCTTTTGTATTACCAAGCAACGTTACAAAATTTATTAATTAGCTTTTTATACTAACCACACTAGGCAAGGCTTAAAGATGTATATAAAATACTAGATAACCCTCTTAAGTGTAGCTCCAGCTGTAGTGCACTGTGTATGAGCCCTACTGAGCCTCGTGCCTCACACAATAGTCCTAAGGCTGCCAATGCTAAATTTTCACCATATTTTTATTCTGGCTCCCACACCTTCACTTTCTTATATATTGTGACTTTATGCCTTACAGTTACATGCCTTAACCTACTTCAGTAAGTGTCTCGTTTGTTAGGTTCTGGGTAAATTACTTTGGCTCTCTCATTACCTCAAAACTGTAGCCAAACGTTCAAAGGCCTTGATTCTTGGCTTGGGTATATCTCCTTCACTTTAATCTGTATGTTTGGTTCATTTCCTCACACTTTGGACTTGTTTAACACGTTCATAGGATTTTTGAATCATTACACTGTTCGTGGCTATTTGTCACATGAGGTAACGCTGTGTATTAAGCTCACACCGAGGGACATAAGATTTTTTTCCATGGGTCGGTTCCAACATTTGACTTGTGTCTGATGCATTTATCCTCTTTCTAGATCATTGTTTTCATATATTTTCATCTGGCGTCTGAGGTAACTATGTTTACTAATCGTACGCAGAGGTAAATACCATAACCTTCTGACACGGTCACACTTATTCACTATAGTACACTAATCCATATCAATCGGGCCTTCCCAATCGTCATATGGATACCTTGAGTTCTCCCTTAATACTATCGGTACACACACTTAAGATCATATGCATTGACATTGATATAAATCAACATACAGCATACGAATTACCCCTTTGAAAAGTTTACCTTGTTCTGTGACACTTCAGTAGCTCGGTGAGTTTGAATGTTATGCAACTGTAATATGAATCAAAAGAGATTATAGAGACCAGTACTAATGTACGCAGTACATCTGTACTTTGCCTGGGCATATTTTTCAAGTTCTTAACAGATTAAATCATTTTGCCAATGTTTAGCACGGCTCTGGACAGCTTGCCTCACATGACGCACTTGTTAGCACTTGAAATTGATGCCCCATTTGGTCTTTGTTGGGTAATGGATATAAAAACCTATTCATTTCTATGGTATTCGTGAGTAATGTTGAAAAATACAGTAGAATATGTCTTTTTACACCCTTACATGTTATCAAAAAATATTTGTTAAAAAAAAAACAATTGCCATAAATGGTTGTTACCAGTATATTTTATTGCAAACTTTACAAGAATTACCGAATGATTTCATGAATAATGTGTGACATATTATATAATTATTCACTTTAAACTACTCTCCACCTCTCAACGTACAGGGCTGGGGAGAGGAAGTTTGCCGCTGCCTGTAAGGAGATCCAGGACTCCGTACAGCGCTACATAGCTACTCACCAGTTTGAGGACTCAGAAGATGATGATGAGGAGGAGGATGAAGAAGACTTGGAGGAACATGGCATTCTTGGTTAGTATAGAGCAAGTCTTGAAGGTATAGGAACTGTCAGTGAGACAGAGTGGTGTGGGTTAGGTGTGGCTATTGTGTGTGTTAGAAGACGACCAGGTTGGTGATGCATGCGTTAATTTGGGGAGAATAAAGGCGGTGTAGATAGTCCTCAGCTCTGGCGTGGGTGCCCCAAGTGACCTGAGTCGTCGTAGCATGTAGAGTCGGTACGAGGCAGCCTTGATTGTGTTGTTTACACGGGCCTTTCTGTCCAGTTTGTGGTCTATGGTAACACCCAGGAGTTTGGCAGACTGCACCAGCTGGAGAGGATGGGCACCCACTGTGACTACTGGAGCTTGCACTGGAGTGGTGGCGGTATTGACGTGCATGACTACGGTTTGGTGTGGTTGATGGTGACCTTGTTCTCCGTAGTCCATGCCTGTAGCCTGTCCAAGGTGCCTTGTAGCGATGAGTAGTCCGGTGAGGTGTTGTCCACTGTAACCCCCACAGTGCAGTCATCCACGTACTTCCACCTGTGAGTAGTGTCCGATAGAGAGTCGTTGATCAGGATTAGGAAGCACAGTGGTCCCATCTTGGTCCCCTGGGGAACACCGCAGGTGAGGTGTTGGAATGTGGAGACAGAACCCTGGTACCTCACTGCCTGACGACGCTCACTCAGGATATCAGTGAGCCATGAGACCAGGTTGGTGGGCAGCCCTAGTGCAATGGGCTTGTTGATAACAGTGCAGTGATCATCAAGGTCAAAAGCCTTCTTGAAGTCAACAAGGGCAACGGCCAGTGATGTCAATTGGGGTCGTGGAGCATTTGGATTTAAATTTCAGGAGTTTGTTGGCAATTTCAAATGGTTAAACACTGGGAGGGGGAAGGTAAGTAAGCCGGGAGGAGAGTGAGGTCAAGACTGGGTAGGGTATCACATGTGGTATCAAAGTGGTTATTAATTATCTCAGCTGCCTCCTCACTAGGTAAATGAGAGATGAAAGGAAGTGTGGGAGACTGACGGTTAAGACCACAGAGATCTTTTACCTTAGAGTACCACTGACTGACTGATGCCGACCTCTTTGGCTGTGCACTTTCCTGGGATAATAAGACGTCTTGGCTGACTTGATTTCCCTGATGACTTGGTTATGTAGACTTTTGTACAGGCGGTTGTTGGTGTAGTATGCCTTGTTACGCTGCTCAATTAGTCTTTTGTTACGGGGTGTAATCCACGGGACAACATCGGGATGGATCCTCAGTGTCTTGGCTGGAAAGAAGTGGTGGTAGGCTTTGGTGATAGTGTCCAGGTAATTATCCCACTTGTTCTGAACATTGTATGCCGTGATCACTTCAGTCCAGGGATACCGGGTCACCCATTGTCCGAAACGCCGCATGGCAGAGTCAGGGGTAGGTCGGTAAGTCCTGGTGGCTGGGTGGTCGTGAGATGGTAGGTGTAAGTGACCACAGTAGAGACAGGTGGGTGCTCCGCCCCATGGGAGGCAGCGGCTGGGGGGGAAGGTAGTGGTTGCCGAGATCAGTCATGATGAGGTCCAGGGTGACATTGCCATGTGTGGGAAAGTCTACTATTTGTGTAAGGTGGAGGTGTTGGGTGATGTCACTGATGTCTAACTCATTAAAGTCACCGCATATCACTAGTTTAGCACATGGAAATCTGGATCTCAGGGAGTCAGCAGTGTCTATTATATGAGTAACCAGTACAATGGCTGTTGGTGCGTGGAGGGGGGGGGTGATAACAAACACAAACAATGACAGAGGCAAGCTGGCGGGGGTGGGAGGTGGGAGTGACCTGAACCCATGAGGCTTCTACATCATCAGGTACATTAACACCTAGGAGTGATGGTTTGAGGTCACTGCGACAGTACAGCACTACACCACCACCTCTCCTGTCCTTTCTGAGGTGGTGAAATAACTCATAGATTTCTATGGCACAGATCTCAGGAACAATTTGCCACGCCTCGGTAATGTGTGTGTGTGTGTGTGTGCGTGTGTGTGTGCGTGCGTGCGTGCGCAACACTGTAAGTAAAATGGGTTCTCTGTATTAAATTAATGTTGATAGAACTTGGTTGGATATTTTTTAGTTAAGATCTTGGGATAAGATTGCTGCATTATCTTGGTTTGTCAACTTGAATCACTGGTATCTCTTCATAGTTATCCAAAGGGAAATATTAGAAAAGCACAACGAATTTGGTAGTTAGGCAAAAAATGCATTTGTGTTTGTTGAATTGATCCAAATGTTGGCTACCATAGACAAGTTTCCAGCAGAAGAAGAGTGAAGTGAAAGTGTGCATTAGTAACTCACAGGCGTCCCTTAATCAGTCCGTTCATAAAGTGTGAACTTACCGGCCGGTCACATTAGGGTCAGGGACGAGACTGTTCCTACCGCTACCCCAAAATGATCGCCCCTATAAGACCGGGTCAGGTTTTGTATGCTGTTCAGGAATGCACCGAACACTACAGTAACTGGACTAGCCTGAACAGTTGCCAGATTGAACCTATAAACACTCCCTCAAAATCTTGTGTACGTAACATGATATTTAAAACAGATCAAGACCCTGAGTTAATTCTTCTTTAACTAGTGCAGTAGACAACAGTGATTGAAGAGAGTCCACATGAAGATTATTATTAGTTGAGTGAAATGAGATTATAGTACACTCACTCCAAATGGTATCTTTACGGAGGGGGTCGATGAATTTCAAAATGAACACCTTGACTCCCGTTGTTTCGGGAGAGTTGTTAAAATCCTTCATCCGTTGTGTCGTGTTGTCTCTCACAAAATCGTTCAGGTACTCGTTTCATTCAGCAAATATATACAGTGTAGTTAAGACACACATGTACAGTCAGTTAAAAGTACCTTCTATATAGAGTATTCTATCTATGTATACAGGTACATATACAGTAAAACCTCGATTAACCGACTTTCGGATTAATAATAATAATAATAATAGTAATAAAGAACCATAAAGAAATGCAAAAAAAAAATCAAGACTGAGAAACACTGTACCTGTATATATGTTGTGTTGTCAATAGTAAGAGAAACAATTGAGACCCTGCAATTGTGTGTAAATGAGGCAGAAAGTCAGATTAGCAACCTGGGACTTGGTCTCAATTTTCGTGATGCCATATGTTCTTTGACTTAACCATTTTTAATTCACGGTTTCTGTGCTGGTTCATATTTATTTACTAAAGTGGTTAATGTTTTAAAGCCATTCTATTGAAACATGAATGACAAATGAACAAAAATAAATAGAGGGACTTAAATGAGGCAGGTTAGGGAAAGGTACTTTGAAATGTAGGTTTTATTTCCGTAGACTTTATGTACTATTAACCGACCTTTTGGATTATCCGTCGGCCCCTTCCCCCCATATGTGGTCGGTTAATCGAGGTTTTACTGTATATACAGTATATATTTTATTTTGATTAGACATTAAGAAAATTGTATGAAAAAGGTGTACAGTATTTATTCCTCATTATATAGTGTTAATATTTCATTCCCTGTAAGAAATGTACTTCAGTCTACCGTCTTGCTTTACAGAGCGCGTGTTCGGGGACTATGGAGGAGAGAAGGACCAGAGCCGTACGCAGCAGTACCTTCAGGAGGCCTTCAAAACTGGTGCTCTTGTGTGTCTTATCTGCATCGAAAACATCAAACGTAACGACCGGGTGCTGCCTTTCTTAGTGTTGGAATAAGAGGTGTGTGTGTGTGTGTGTTAAATAAGAGATGTTCAACTCCCGGGCCTTAAGGGTGTGTGTGATAGTGACTTCATGGTCTTGCAAATTTTGATGAAAGAGAAGCTATTGAAAATGTTCAGAAGTCATTCGGGTATGTCTAAAAAAACAACAACTTGGTGTTACTTGAAGATTAGCTATAGTCCTTCCGGCTGTCATTCAGTTATGAAATTTGTCAAATAGGTATACAACTGTCTCAACGTATATGTGAAAAGGTGTATTTCACCTTGAAATTGTGGAGGTAGAGATGAGGAAAGAAAGTGGAATTATATATAATGAATTTACATCTTTAGATCAATTAGTCTGTTTCTCCGCTCACTGCCAAAAAGTATCTTTATGGAGAGGTGATCAATGAATTTCAAAATGGACGCCACGACTCCTGTTGTCTCGATAGGGTTGTCAAAAGTCTTTGTCCACTGTGTCATATTGCCTCAACATAAATTCGGAGAGATACTTTTTGACTAGCCGCTAAAAATAATGGGTATTAAAGTAAGCCAAATACTTCTACATCTCTAAAGTAAGATTAACAAAGAATGGTGAGGAAGGGTAACTTCCACAGAAGGTAAAATAAGAGACTGGAGAAGAAAATGAAATGAGAATTGATGAAATTATTCTGTATACATATTGGTGGGAAGTAAGAGCTCTACATTTCCCCAATACTTATACATGTGTCTGTGAGGTGATATTTATGGCCTCACACTAGGAGACAATCTCAGTATTCCAGAGATTCATCAGTGGCATTCTTTAATAGGTTCTTGTGTGGGAGCGTAAAGTCCTTTTGAATTTGAGATACAGTATTGCATAATTTAAGATAGCATACATCTTAGAGTATCCTGCAATTGACAATACATACACTTTGTTTATAAATCAACATACTAAAGGTCGTAACTGAGAAGATGCCGCCTGACTCGCCGACCGACTGCCTCAACTACTAATAAATACAAAACTCTAAGGGATGAAAATTATACATATAAAAATAAAATCGTATGTACATTATAAATGATAATGAACTATAGTAAATGAAAAAGGTACCTGATAAATGACGGTGATTTTGGCGTGGTACAGATATGGAGCTGTGCTAAATGTTACTCCAGTTTCCACGTTAGCTGCGTGCAGAAGTGGGCGAAGGACAGCATCTACCAGCTGGCCAAGCCAGTACGACACTAACCAGAAATTCGACAAGTCCGGCCTTATGTGGTGCTGGTAAGTGTGTCTGATGTGCCGTCTCTTCCTTCCTGTCACTTGACTACTTCATTTTGTGTTACTCGTTGCAGAAGTTTACGAGGATATTTAGGGTAAGGTTAGGTTAGTTTAAGTTAGGTTAGTTAACCATTAGGGTGGTTAATCTTAGTGATATCAGCTAGGTGGGTCAATCCTCTGGTTATCCTAAATGAACTACCAGTAGGAAAATTTGACTTCCCATTATTCCTTCAAGGTGGAGGTGATACAAAGGTCTGAGGACAACTGTACTGTACAAGGTAATTAATATAGTATGTAAATAATTCAAAAGATAATAATAATAAATAAATATAATCATCATTATACAGTACTATAATTTTCCTCCCTTCGCAGCCCCAAGTGTCGGAGTGAGTATACACAGTCCGTCATCCCTAACCAAATACTTGTGTTTTTGTGGAAAGAAAATGGACCCCCAGTTTGACCCATGGCTCATCCCTCACACGTATGGAGCAACTTGTAAGAAGAAGCTACAGCCAGAGTGTGGTCATACCTGCCTCCTCCTCTGCCATCCAGGTAGGTACATAGATCGTTAACTTCGGTGTTGGTGTTGATATAGATGTTATTGCTTCCACCGATGGGTTCGTTATGTCCTGGTGTCAGCGGATTAGTGACAGTGTTTGTGACTTTCCTGTTGCTGTCTTTCTTGTGCAGTAAGTGATGTTAAGTCCTGTTCTGTTCAGCATATGTTTGCTCCCAGGATCAGGGGGAATGTATCCATCTGTCCCATATTATATTTGTGGCTCATACATAAACTTCTCAAACTAAATGAAGGGTTTGGTGAGTGAAAGATTACACAAATGTATACAGTGTACCTAGACAGTACAGGTATATAACAATAGTGAACAGTAAGACAGTTTGTACAAGGAGAGCCAGCAAAGTCATCAGATGTTTATTTTACTTTGAATTTGTGTTATATTATAGATTAACTTCCTATATAATGCCATATAACTTCATATAAGAAAATAATTGCTTGTAGTGGGGTGTGCGTCGTACTGTAGTGGTAACCCAAGCAACGTCTCATAACTACTGCTATTTCTTTGGATCCTTCTGGGCAGTTTTACCGCTGTAACGCTTCAAACAGAGACAATAACTACTAAAATGGCTGCTGCTTGGCTGGGAATAGCGCACTAACGCCATCTATTGGGCATAGGTATAACTAACGTCTTTTACGCTTTTGCAATCGAACAGAATTTGAACATACGGACAGGTTTATCTGTGTGTGAATGTTTGAAAGTAGAGGAGATACTGTGGTGGACAATACTTCATTACTGGAGCTCACCAGCCGAGTCCACTGATTATACTACACCAAAGTTTCCCTTATAAGGATAGTCTCTCTCTGAGAAGTCCCTTATTAAAAGGATTTACTGTAATTACCTTTGAGGGTTGTACTGTTGTGTGATGGTTACTCAAGTAAACCTGATTTGTAGAGATTAATGTACAGTATGGTGATAGCAATACCTGGTGGTGTAAGGTGATGTACAGTATGGTGATAGCAATACTTGGTGGTGTAAGGTGATGTACAGTATGGTGATAGCAATACTTGGTGGTGTAAGGTGATGTGTGTGAGAAGGTTTTCCTGTATATTTTTGATCCTCAGGCCCGTGTCCACCATGTCCCAAGACTGTAGCCAGCACGTGCCACTGTAGGAAGCAGCCTCCAGAGACCGGGACGCTGCTCGTCCAAAACCTGGTCTTGTGGCCAGACATGTGGACAACTCCTCAGCTGTGGTCAGCACACCTGCCAAGATGCTTGCCATCCTGGAGACTGTAAGCCTTGCCCCAGACAGAGTCGGCCAGTCGTGTTGTTGTGGCAGCAGCACCCAACTGAGGGAGTGTGCTGACCCAGTCTGGCAGTGTGATAATAGAAATTATGGATAAGCGTGTAGTAAGGTATACTGTACTGTACAGTATACAGTACAGTACTGTACAGTATACAGTACACTTTACAGTACTGTATGCAGTATACAGTACTGTATACAGTACTGTACAGTATACAGTACAGTATACAGTACAGTATACAGTACTGTATACTGTACTGGATGATATACAGTACTGTATACTGTACTGTATACTATACTGTATACAGTACAATATACAGTACAGTATACAGTACAGTATACAAGCAGTATACAGTACTGTATACTGTACTGTATACTGTACAGTACTGTACTGGATGATATACAGTACTGTATACTGTACTGTATACAGTACTGTATACTGTATAGCCAGTACTGTATACTGTACTGTATACTGTACAGTACTGTACTTTGTATACTGTACTGATGATATATTGTACTGTATACAGTATATATACAGTACTGTATACTGTACTGTATATTGTATTGCATATTATGCTGTATACAGTATAGTATAGTACTGTATACTGTACTGTATGGTACTGTATACTGCATTGCAGTATAGTATATATAACAGTACAGTATACAGTACTATATAATTATGCAGTATAGTATACAGTACTGTATACAGTACAGTATACAGTACAGCATATGCATAGTACTGTACATACAGTATCAGAGCAACAGTACAGTATACAGTACAGTATACAGTGCAGTAATAGTACAGTATACAGTACTGTATACTGTATACCACCAGATATTGTACTGCATGGTATACAGTATCAGAGCATGTATACTATACTGTATACAGCACAGCATAATTGTACTGCATACAGTACAGAGCATTGCACTGGATGATATACAGCACCTGCCATTGTATTAGAGTATTATATTGCATAATAGTATATATACTGTATGTATTGCATACTGCATGTATACAGTACAGTAGGGAGTGACAGTTTGGCAAAGCCAAAATCATGGCTTAAGTTGGATTATTTGTTCATCGGCCACGCTGGTCTTAATATGTTTGAGTTTTTTACATCATTGCATTAGAAGGTTTGTGGATACTTTTTGGGCCTAAGTAAAAACAAAAAAACTGTAACAATAAAGGGACTGGCAATGTGGCACAACCTGTTAAAATCAAGTTATTGAATTGATTATTCAATTACTGTGTACACTAGTTTCATGCTATTGTTTTTACAACTCAATATGCTACAATTATAATATATTTTGCTGCAAGTCACCAAGAGTATTTTAAAACAGGGTCGTTACTAACGGGCGGACAGTCTGCGGAATAATTTGCGACATTCCAATATGAACATTACCAAACTCGGTGATATGTGCTAAATGGCAGGCCAATGGGCAATATTTACAGAGTTTGTTGAGGCCTCGGACGTGAATGCCCTGGGAATTTATTCCACGGAATTATTCACGCCTGCTGGTAATATTCATTCCCAGACTGATCAAATCTAATTCAGCCCAAGTAGCTTGAATTGACAGTTGGCGACAAAAAATCAGTCCGCATTTCTTTGAATAAAATATTGTTCAACAGGTGGCAGGCCATGCTGAAAAGTTGTTTTTTCTGTGTTGTTTTTGCAGCAGTTCAAGGGTCGGCCACCAAGATGGGTCATCAAGATTAGCGCAACACTCTGATCTTGCTTCCGCTTCCATCATATAGCCTGAACCTCATTGTCATTGACATCCTTTATAATCACTATCTTCTTCCTGGAGCACTGTCATCCACTGCCTATACACTTTACACGACATCCCTTCCATCTCCTCCCCATTTCTTGACCTCATCTTTCCTGCCTCTCCTCAGCCCTTGCCCTTTGCTTCCTTTCCTCTCTTCAGCTATAGTCACACTCGTCAATCTATCAATGCAGCCCCTTCCGGTTTCCTCTGGGCTGCCAGGAAGCTTTTCTCTGCTCGCGGCACTTCGCTGTCGCCTGCCACATCAAACAACTTCAGCTATATCCCTAACCTCATCTTCAGCTTCCTCCTTCCTTTCGTTTTCTTCCTTTTCTGTTTCTGTCCATTTCCCTTCATCATCATCGCCTCCCTCCAAGATCCTCCACAGGTCGTGGACTTCATTTTCACCCTGATTTCAGAGATAGTGACAGTGGCCTTCCTATACACATCCAGTACCTTTTCAGTCACCTTTGTTGGTGGCATCCATATAATCAAAAGCATTGTTCTTCTTAACCTCTCGCTTTCTGCTTCATAAGCCAGGCACTTCCAACTTCTCGTGTCTCAGGAGGCAATCTGTTAGATGGCAGAGGCATCCGAACTCAACACCTTATCGCTACTCCTGGCGAGCTGAGTGTTGCTAATCTTAGGACGCACCCATCTTGGTGGCGGCCCTTGAACTAACTGCAAACAACACAGAAAACAACTTTCAGCACTTCAATATCACCACCTATTGAAGAATATTTATTCAAAAGTACGGACTGAGATTTGTCCTCTAACTGTCCAATCTTAAGCTACTTGGGCTGAATTTGATCAGTCTCAGATTTGATATTAACGGCGGATGATGTTCCTGAATAGTTCAGCACCACCAGGGATTTCAACAAATCAAAATATTGCCATTGGCTCACATGGCACATATACGAGTTTGCAATGCCCCATGAGCGGAATGTCCTAAATTCATTCCACGGAATCTATCCACGCCGCTGGTAATATAGGGCCCGGGTTTTTTGAAATATACGAGTGTGGTGACTTGCAGCAAAAATATCGCATAATTTGTAGCGCATTGAGTTGTAAAACAATAGCATACATGAAACTAGTGTACACAGTAGTCGTAATAATCCAATTCATCAACTTGATTTAACAGGTTGTGCCATACTGCCAGTCCCTTTTTATTATTTACAGTTTTTCAAAGGCTTGGGTGCCAAACCCAAAAAGTATCCACAAACCTTCTAATGGAATGATGTAAAAACTCAAATATTCTTTGAACTGAAGCGTGGGTTTATAGACAACAATCCAACCCAAGCTTACTTGATTTGAAAACTTTTGCAAAACTTGTCACTCCTCTCCCTACAGTATAGTGTATAGTGGTACAGTATACAGTACTGTATACTGTATTGATGATATATGTACTGTATACAGTACAATATACAGTACAGTATATATACTGTATACTGCATTGTATACTGTACTGTATACTGTACAGATTGTATACAGTACTGTATACGTATATAGCATGAAAGTATTGGTATATGAGCAGTATGTTGTATTGATGATATATAGTACTGTATACAGTACTGTATACAGTACAATATACAGTACAGTATACAGTACTGTATACTGTACTGTATACTGTACTGTATACTGTACAGTACTGTATACTGTACAGTACTGTATACAGTACTGTATACTGCATACAGTACTGTAAAGTGTACTGTATACTGTACAGTACTGTACTGTATACTGTACTGGATGATATACAGTACTGTATACTGTACTGTATACAGTATAGTATACAGTACTGTATACTGTACTGTATACAGTACTGTATACTGTACTGTATATTGTACTGTATACAGTAGTGTATACTGTACTGTATACTGTACAGTACTGTACTGGATGATATACAGTACTGTATACTGTACAGTATACAGCACTGTATACAGTACAATATACAGTACAGTATACAGTACTGTATACTATACTGTATACAGTACAGTATACAGTACAGTATACAGTACAGTATACTGTACAGTATACAGTAATGTATACCGTATTGTATGGTATACAGTACAGTATACAGTACAGTACAGTATACTGTACTGTACAGTATAGTACAGTATACTGTACTATATTGTACTGCAAATATTTTACAATGAGGTTAACAATATTTAATGTGTGTTTGATTTATAAAGGTAATAGAATTATTTACCTTTTTTAATTAATAATTTCAGGTGTGTAATAATCAACACAGTTGTGGCCATCACCTGTGCCAGAATGTTTGTCACAGTGGAAGTTGTGGTGAGTGTCCAGCAAGTGGAGTCCGTACCTGTCCTTGTGGCAAAACTTCACATACTCTGCCGTGCACAAAAGAAATTCCAACGTGTGGCGATACCTGTGGAAAGGAACTGGCTTGTGGTGTTCACTATTGTGCCGAGCGCTGCCACAAAGGGCCGTGTCCTACGGTAAGACCCGATTTATTTGATTGTGTTGCTTTACTTTGAATTGTTTGACGTTTGGTGGTAGAAACATTTATTTTAAGTATCATACACAGTTTTTTTTATGCAGTGAGGGTATAACTTTTGATCAGGGTCTTTGTTGAGTCAGGTACAGTACGTAGAAAATAAATATATCACAATACCCAGTGTTGTATATCATCTTAATTGTTTACTCTTATTGTAAAACTTGGCAGTGCCTCCAGTTCCGTGTGAAATGGTGTCGATGTGGGACCAAGCAAAAGGAAATAGCATGCAGCAAGGAGCTCACGTGTGAGGTCAAATGTAAGAATATGAGAGACTGCAGACGACACACATGTAATAAAAAGGTGAGGCAGTGCACAGAGTTGTTTAATATTGTAAAATACAGTAGAGTACAGTGCAGTACAGTGCAGTACAGTACAGTACAGTGCAGTACAGCACATTGCAGTACAGTGCAGTACAGTGCAGTACAGAACAGTACAGTACAGTGTAGTACAGCACAGTACAGTACACTAAAGTGCAGTACAGTGCAGTACAGTACAGATCAGTACACTAAAGTATAGTATAGTACAGTACAGTACAGTACAGTGTAGCACAGTACAGTACACTAAAGTGCAGTACAGTACACTACAGTGCAGTACAGTGTAGCACAGCACAATACAGTATACTAAAGTACAGTACAGTACAGTAAAGTACAATACAGTACAGTATAGTACAGTACACTACAGTAAAGTAGAGTACAGTACTGTGCAGTGGAGCACACTACAGTACAGTGCAGAACAGTACACTACACTACAGTACTGTACTCTAGTACAGTACAGTACAGTAAAGTACAATACAGTACAGTATAGTACAATACAGTACAGTATAGTACAGTACACTACAGTAAAGTACAGTACAGTACTGTACAGTGGAGCACACTACACTACAGTGCTGTACAGTACAGTGCAGTACACTACAGTGCAGTACAGTACAGTGCAGCACACTACAGTGCAGTACAGTACACTACAGTACACTACATTACAGCACAGTACAGTATTGTGCAACACAGTACAGTACAGTGCAGCGCAATACATTACAGTGCAGCACAGTACAGTGCAGCACAGTACAGTGCAGTACAGTACAGTGCAGAACATTTCTGTGCAGTGCAGTGCAGTACAGTATACTACACTACAGTAGAGTCCAGTACAGTACACTACACTACAGTAGAATACAGTACAGTTTTACCCCGCTTAACGCGCTTTCACTTAACGCGTTTTATCATATACGCGGTGCCTTGCCAAAGCTGAACTTTCACTTAACGCGGGTTTTTCCACAGCTACGCGGTGAGTGTCCGGCTCGGATGCTATTTTTAGATTTTGACCACGCGCCACGCGCCACCCCACCCACCCGCCCTCCTGCCTGCCTGCCTCTCCCTCCTCCTCCCTCCGCTTGGGTAAGCGGCGCGGTAAGGTTGCGCAGTGTGTGTCTTTGTTGCGTTATCACTGACGTCATATGACGTCTCGGACTGTGATTGGCCATGCAGCCCTACCCCCCTCTGCTGCTAGCTGTAATTGGCTTAAAGTATTATGACGTGACTACCCCGGGGAGGGAGGGAGGGAGGAGAGACGACGCTTGACCTAGCCGCGGCAGTTTCATCCCTCAAGGCCACGCCGGGTTAACGCGCATCCATTGTTCCGTAAAATGGCTTCCGCCGGACCACCACCCCCAGAGAGAAACCTTTCCTTACCTGGACCCAGCGGCACTAAACCAAAGAAGACACGACGTTCATTAAGCTACGAGCTGAAGTACCAAATTGTTCAAGATTTGGAGAAAGGAAGACGCCAAGTTGATCTCGCGCGCCAGCATGGCGTCAACGAATCTACGATTCGTACAATAAAGAAGGATGCAGCCAAGATAAAGGAGCACATGAAGATCACAAAGTCTGCAGGTGCTTCATCTATCAGGTATTGCCAGAACAGGGTGCTGGCAAAAGTGGAAACTTTGCTGGTGAGTTATTTGGTGCGTCAGGCGCGACGCAACATGGCGGTGGACACGCGCTCAGTGCAGGAGTACGCACGTGAGCTATACGCAGCAGTGACACGTAAACTGGGAATTGCAGAGCCCAAACCCTTCAATGCTTCCCATGGTTGGCTGCATAGGTTTAAGAGGAGGAACAAGGTCACCAACATCAGCATTGTTGGTGAGGAAGCGAGTGCTGACCGTGCGGCGGCTAGAGATTTTCCTCCGTTTTTACGTGAGATTATGGAGGAAGGACAGTACAGTGACGACCAGGTGTTTAACATGGACGAATCTGGTCTTTTCTGGAAAAAGTTACCTTCCAAGACCTTCGTTGTCCAGTCTGCGAGCAAGGTAAGGGGCCGGAAGATGCAGAAGGAACGCATCACCGTCCTGTTTACCACCAATGCCTCCGGTACCTGTAAACCAAAGTTATCGGTGATTCACAAAGCCCGCAAGCCGCACGCCTACAAGAATATGGACATGAACAAGCTTAATGTCCACTGGCTAACCGCACGTAAGGCGTGGATGTCCTCTTCTCTGTCCCTCTTCTGGTTTGACAACTGTTTTGTTCCTGACGTGCAGAAATTCTGCGAGCAACAGAATGTTCCTTTCAATATTTTGTTGCTCCTTGACAACGCACCTGGACACTCGCCCCTACTTATGGATCGTCACCCCAACGTAAAAGTGGTCTTCCTTCCTCCCAACACTACGTCATTAATCCAGCCCATGGACCAGGAGTTAATCTGCAATGTTAAAGCTGCATACTCGGCAAAGAAATTCAAGCTCCTGAACGACTCTACCAACACCAAGGATGAGTTGCGTAAGCTGGGTGACACCGACAGCGAGAGTAAAAGCGACGAGGACAAGGAACAAGAGGCGGCGACTCAAGAACTTCTCGTCAAACAATTTTGGAAGAAGTTTAACGTCAAACAAGCTGTAGACTTCTTGGTGGAGGCATGGAATCTGCTGTCTATTGCTACGATTCGTCACGCATGGAGACATGTGTTGCATGGCATACCAGGTGAGAGGAGGAGTGAACCTGTGACTGGTCAGGTTCAGACTGTTGCAGTTAGCAGTGGACCTTGCCAGAGAAGCTGCGCTCAGTATTACAGCTGAAGGCTTCTCCGAGACCACCAACGAAGACATCATGGAGGTGATCAGAGATCCTGAAGTGACTGCCGACGAGATGTTGGAAGAAGAACCCGCCAGTGAAGAGGAGGAAGAAGGTGCGTCATTCTCCGAAGAACCTAGTTTAAGTCATAGTGATATTAAGTGTGTCATAGAGTTAACAGAAAAAATTAAGTCCATCGTTTCCCGCGACACTGACGATGAACGCCATGACGTCTTCCATACCCGACTGGTGCAGGCTATGGAGCCGTACATCACGGTGTATCATGACAACATCAAAGCCAGCCGTCAGCAAAGCATAACCGAGTTCTTCGCCCGCAACCCACCACAGCCAGCCCAAGCCAGTGATAGTGATAGTGAAGTTGATTTTGAGGGATTTGTCAGGGAAGCCATAACAACTGTAAGTGACAGTGATATTGATTCACCTAGTAATGGTGATTCACCTGAGGGGCAGTAATCTGCCCTCTGCCTCGGAACCAGCCTCCATCCCCGTATGCCGACCCATCTCTTCTACTACCGTGAGTGTTCCTCAAAAATTTTCGTTTTTTAACCTATTCTTTATTTTTCCTATGTTAACCTTTATCTTTCCTAACCTAACCTCTTCTATATTACTTGTTTTTCATGCCACCATAAAGTTAAGATAGAATTTTTACTACAACATAGTTATTTGTCGTCAAAAAGTGGAGTTTGGGGTTCGGGCTGGGTTCTATTGGAATTAATCCCATATGTTCTGTTATTCACTTAACGCGGTTTTCACTTAACGCGGGACCCTCTGGGTTCAATTGACCGCGTTAAGTGGGGTACAACTGTACAGTGCAACACAGTGCACTACAGTGTAGCACAGTACAGTAGAATACAGTACAGTGCAGTATGGTACTGTACAGTACAGTACATTACAGTGCAGTACTGTACAGTACAGTACATTATAGTACAGTACTGTACAGTACAGTACAGTGCAGTGAGTTCAGTGCAGTACAGTACATTACAGTGCAGTACAGTGCACTGCAGTACAGTGCAGTACAGTGCTGTACAGTGCAGTGCAGTACAGCACAGTACAGTGCAGCACAGTACAGTGCAGTACAGTGTAGTACAGTGCAGCACAGTGCAGTTCAGTGTAGTACAGTGCAGCACAGTACAGTGCAGCACAGGACAGGACAGTACAGTACAGCACAGTACAGTACCATACAGTACATTGCAGCACAGTGCAGTACAGTACAGTACAGTGCAGCACAGTACAGTGCAGCACAGTACAGTACAGTGAAGCACAGTACAGTGCAGTACAGTGCAGCACAGTACAGGACAGCACAGTACAGTGCAGCACAGTACAGTACAGTACAGTGCAGGACAGTACAGTGCAGCACAGTGCAGTATAGTGCAGCACAGTACAGTGCAGCACAGTACAGTACAATACAGCACAGTACAGTGCAGCACAGTACAGCACAGCATAGTATAATACAATACAGTACAATACAATACAGTAGCAGCACAGTACAGTACAATACAGCACAGTACAGTACAAAGTATTATGGGAGGTGTCCAGAATGTGTAGGTGGTTTGTGTAAAGTGTTCATAAATATAGTTTTCTTACTCTCTCTACCATCTGTCAGGTGACTGTAACACACTTTTGGCAAGTACTTGATCTTGAATGTATCACAACATGCTCCAGTGTTCATCAAATCAGAACTTAAAGGAACTCACATTTACAACTGCCACAAGATTGACTGGCAGGTTAACTCTCTCGTGGTCTTTCGATGCAAATTGTGTTGCTGAATGCACCTGTGCTGGTGCAACCCATCCCACTCATCTGTATCTCACACTGAGAGCACCCCTCCTGTAAGCAAAAATGTGGCAACAGTTGACCGGCTCTATCAACCACCAAAGTTCCTCCCGGTGGCCTCGTGGGCTGGCAGATGCATCTAGAAGTTTGCAATTTGGGTCTGGATTGCTCTACCCAATGTTTATTAAAATGGAGAAACCATTCCCACTATTGACTCAACACTGCTAGGGGGCCAGGAGTACCAGAGGGTTAAATACGTGCAATATATGACTTTACATCTCTTCCTCCAAAGAAATTAGCTCAAACAGTTTACCATACTGTTAGCTTCTTTAACTTGAGGCTGTGACCTCTAGTGGAACTACCTTCTGTTAATTCAAGATATGTAGTACATTTGACATTGTAATGCTATAGTTAATAGCTTATAGTTCCTGTAGTATAAACTGGGCAGTACAGTCACTCTTGGTAAATGTCAGGCGAGTACAATACTGGCACCTGTTTGGTAGCCTTTTTGTGCCCATTATCGAGTCATTGGCAACGTTTGGTATATCTTGAAGACCAGGTAGGATTGCAGTTTTCCAAGTGAAGTAGTTTTAGGTGTTTGAAAATTCTTATGAGGCAAAACCATCTGTGTATGTCTTGAGACCTTAACATTGATCTAACTACAGGAGTATGTTAGAAAGGTTCAGTGATTTGAAAACTGTAGCTTGATCACCCTAGTTAATTTAACAGTTACTATATCTGTTAATTTTTTTGTAAAATATTGGGAGACAGTGTATAACAGGTTATTATAAGCTGTTTTACCACCTGTTCACTCTTCTTTTACATATATTTGAATCTGTAACTGCAGTATTAGTGCATTAATAATTACATTTTGTATAGGCAGAGAAATAATCACTTACCTGAATGTGTATCACCAGTGTTGTGTGGGGGATTGCCCCAGATGTGAGCAGCCGTGTGGTCGAACCTTAGTCTGCCGCAACCACAAGTGTGAGAGCAGGTGCCACCAAGGTCCTTGTTATCCCTGTGCAGTCACCCATACCATATCCTGCCGGTGTGGAGCCAGCACCATCACCGTTCCGTGTGGACGAGAGAAAACGACCAAACCTCCTAAATGCTCCAAACGATGCAAGTATGTTATCCTCATTTTATGTTGATATTTAATCCATTTAAAAGAGTAAGAGTGAAGGAACACCTTCTTTTACCCCACTTCCCTCTTAGACAGTCCCATACAGCCATAATGCTCTGGCTGTTAGAGATTAGATTGGTTGAGGCTGTGAGAGTTGAAGGTGGTAGTGACGGCATAAAAAGATTCTTCTCCGTTCACGCTGCTTCTTGTGAATAATTTACCCGTGTGATTTTAATATTGCTGTTGAATATTAGACCATTACAGTATTGTACTTTAACTGTGTTGAACAAGTTAGCCATTTTGTGAATAATAAAAACAAATAATTGTAACTGAAAAAAATGAAGACTTTTTTCACTATGACTTTACATAAACTTCCATTCTAAATAATATTACAGGGTGAGAGTTTAGTTCTTGGTTAAACTAATGTTCTTGTGTTTAGTGTTGTGTTAATGTATAAACCAGCAGGTGATGTTAGTGATAGACATTTGAAGAGGCAAGATATTAAATAGTTCAGCACTGTCTCTTTCTTCTGTGTGTGTGTGGGTGGGTGGGTCCTTTTTACCAAACAGGGAGGTACTACCGCCTGGGAAGATATTAGAAGCATACTGTGTTGTGTAATGGTAGACCCTGCTGCCATATGTGACCAAGTCCCAGGTTGATGATCTGACTTTCTGCCTCATTTACACACAATTGCAGGGTCTCAATTGTTTCTCTTACATTGACAACACAACATACATATATTGTTTCTCACTTTTGATCTTATTTTCATTTTTGTGTTTCTGTATGGTTCTTTATTATTATTACTTGTATTATTATTACTATTACAGTGGTCCCTCGGTTAACGAACACAATTCGTTCCAGAAGGTCGTTCGTTAACTGAAACCATTGTTTAAATGGGATTTTGGGTAATTGGTTCCAGCTTACCAAAAATTACATACAAAGTAAAAAAAAAATGCAGTAAAGTACACTTACTTTGAGGTGTGTATGTAGAAGGCTCCTGGTTGATGATGATGATGGGAATTAGAAGTGGGAGTGGAGGAGAAGGGAGAAGAGAAGGAAGTGGGGGTGGAGGAGAAATCACCCCATGCTTCATGCCGCCATTTCACCCATAAAATTTTAAGTTCACTTGGTGTAATTCAAGATTATTTTCTTTAAATCAACACTGCACTGCACTATATATTGTCAATATGTTAAATAAATTTCAAAATGACCAATAATTGTACTGTAAAAACGTAAAAATAGTTTATGTTCAAGAGAGTCTCAAGCAAGATGTTACCTCCACTGACCAGAGATGCAAACTGACGCCTTGCTGGGCGAGTCAAGTGGCTGATTGGCGCACCAAAAACTAGTTTCCTGTACTGCAATTATGTTAAATAAGTGTTAAAAAGACTAAAAATTTTAATATAAAACTTGGAAAATTATTGAATAGTACAACCTTCTTGATATTTACTTGAATGGGAACGAATTTAAGCCCTAGAACCGATTACAGCTCCTCCCCAACTTACGACGGGGTTAGGTACCCAAATCCAGGTCGTAAGTCGAATATGCTTAAATAATACATAGAATATCTAAAATGGGTGTCTCTTTTTCTTCTCAGCACCACAAAACTCTCACTCTTAAGCTTGCCAGCCATTTTAAAGGGAATTACAAACAAATATTTTCTCTGTTTACTGACGTTGGGACTCGAAAATACTTAATTTGACAAAATGTTGGTACGACTGAGGCAGGCCGTAAGTGCGGGTGGTCGTAAGTCGAGCAGGTCTTAAGTCGGGGAGGAGCTGTAGTGTACTGGCGGACTAATATTTCAGCTGGAGAACAAGCGAAAACATGTTGAGAGGAATTCGTAAGGAATTCGTTAACTGAATTGAATATTCTTATGGAAGGTAATTCGTAAACTGAAATTTCGTTAACCGAGGCGTTCGTTAACCGAGGGACCACTGTACTATTGCTATTATTATTATCATCAGTGTTGTTGTTATTATTGTTGTTATCATTTAATTTTTCTTATTTATTTTTGTATTATAAATTTTATATACTATGAACTACTTATTATTAATATTATTATTAATATTACATTTTTGCCCCTCAGGTGATAGATAGATATTTGTTCTGGAACTAGTAAGTGGCAGGGCTGAAGTAAACAGTTTGTTGGTTTTTCTTTATTGTATAAAAATATAGGTTCACAGGTACTGAGTTCAGTTGAGAGTATATTGTTCCTTCTCTACCAGGGGAAGTGTCTTGAGTGCACTTATATATGAGAACACTTAAGTGAGGTGTTCACTGGGTGATGAGTTTGCCCGCTCCCTCCTCTCACTCAGAGCGTCAGAGTCAAGGAGGAGCGGGCGAGGTATTTGCTAAATCAGCTTGACCTGACTCAACCTCTGATGAAGTTATAGATCTCAGCATGTATGACGTGAACAACTACTGAGTCATGGTTGAAGAACTTAGTGAACAACTACTGAGTCATGGTTGAAGAACTTAGTGAACAACTACCGAGTCATGGTTGAAGAACTTAGTGAACAACTACTGAGTCATGGTTGAAGAACTTAGTGAACAACTACTGAGTCATGGTTGAAGAACTTAGTGAACAACTGCTGAGTCATGGTTGAAGAACTTAGTGAACAACTGCTGAGTCGTGGTTGAAGAACTTAGTGAACAACTGCTGAGTCGTGGTTGAAGAACTTAGTGAACAACTACTGAGTCATGGTTGAAGAACTTAGTGAACAACTGCTGAGTCGTGGTTGAAGAACTTAGTGAACAACTGCTGAGTCGTGGTTGAATAACTTAGTGAACAACTGCTGAGTCGTGGTTGAATAACTTAGTGAACAACTGCTGAGTCGTGGTTGAAGAACTTAGTGAACAACTACTGAGTCGTGGTTGAAGAACTTAGTGAACAACTGCTGAGTCGTGGTTGAAGAACTTAGTGAACAACTGCTGAGTCGTGGTTGAAGACTTAGTGAACAACTACTGAGTGAATTAGTGAACAACTGCTGAATTAGTTGGTTGAAGAACTTAGTGAACAACTGTGGTTGAAGAACTTAGTGAACAACTACTGAGTCTGGTCTTAGTGAACAACTTAGTGAACAACTGCTGAGTCGTGGTTGAATGTGAACAACTACTGAGTCGTGGTTGAAGAACTTAGTGAACAACTGCTGAGTCACTTGTGAACAACTGCTGAGTCGTGGTTGAATAACTTAATGAACAACTACTGAGTCATGGTTAAAGAACTTAGTGAACAACTGCTGAGTCGTGGTTGAAGAACTTAGTGAACAACTGCTGAGTCGTGGTTGAATAACTTAGTGAACAACTACTGAGTCGTGGTTGAAGAACTTAGTGAACAACTACTGAGTCATGGTTGAAGAACTTAGTGAACAACTGCTGAGTCATGGTTGAATAACTTAGTGAACAACTACTGATGTCGTGGTTAAAGAACTTAGTGAACAACTGCTGAGTCGTGGTTGAAGAACTTAGTGAACAACTGCTGAGTCGTGGTTGAATAACTTAATGAACAACTACTGAGTCATGGTTAAAGAACTTAGTGAACAACTGCTGAGTCGTGGTTGAAGAACTTAGTGAACAACTGCTGAGTCATGGTTGAAGAACTTAGTGAACAACTACTGAGTCATGGTTGAAGAACTTGGTGAATAATTTGGTATTATACAAATAGTGCTTGTGTGTGTGTGGTTTTAAACCCTGCATATAACAAGACCAGCACATGAGTGGAGCTTCACCACGAGGCTGTAGATGGTGTTGTGTTTGTAGTACTGTGCTCTGGAAGATGACTTGGTTGTTACAGACTGCCGCCCAACTGTCACCATCCTCACCGGCAGAAGCACAAGTGTCACCAGGGGCCGTGTCCCACCTGCCGGATATCTTGTGGTCTCAAGCTTAAGTGTGGACACATCTGCCCTGTGCCTTGTCATGATGCAGTTCCTGTTAAGGTATTGTATTGTATTGTATTTACTTATAAACCTGAGCTTTTACATTGTTCTCATATTTACTTAAATTTTCATTCAAATGGAAAGTTTACATTGTTAAAAGAATTAAGATTTCTTTTAATAAAAAAGGAAAAGTCATTGTGCAGTATTTTTTATGCCAGTTATGCCTTTTATCTTTTTCTTCTCTTTTGGAAGATTGTGGATACCAAGAAGCGTGCTGGACCATGGGAACCTGTTGCTGCTCCTCACATTGAAATTCAAAAGAAACCGTGTCCGCCTTGTCAGGTGTGTACCCGTACCTCTTTGTCCTGATTACGGGAGTTGGTGGAGCTATTAATTTCAGCTGTAAGATATTATGTGTTGACAGTACTAAGTAAGAGGTGTGATGGTGGATAATATAGCAGATTTTAATAACATCATCATCATCATCATCGTGCTATTATCACACGACGTCTTCTTCACCTCAGATGAGATAATTTGTCAGATTCAAAGTATTGTACAGAGTGGACAAAACAGCTTCACTCAGGTTCAGGCTTGTGTTCAGACCCAGGCCTTACATGTGCACCACCAGAGGAAATGCTCTTGTTATCCCTGGGCAGGTTGTGGTGTTGTGTTGACTCAGTGCAGATACAAGTCCTCACATGACTTAGCATTAATAACTTACCTAATAAATTACCAGAAAACATCTAGTTCTGCCCATAATGGATCATTGATTTTTATGTTTTATGGATGTTTCCAGTCACAGCTCTTACAGTACAGTACTGTACCATAATATCTCTGTTAGCCGGAATCCCTCAAACCTGGAACTCTCCGATAGCCGAAATTGAAATTTTTACGAAAAATCATTCCCGAGGCTGAAATTTTCCGGAAAATGACGTCTTTGGGAACGATTTTCCGGAAAATTCCGAGAAAATTTTCCCGATAACCGGAAAATTCCAGGGATGGGGGAGTCTTTTTCCAGGTTTGAGAGATGATGTAATGGACAATTTCTGGAACTTCCGAGAAAAATTTTCCGTTACCCGGAAAATTCCGGGGATGAGGGATTTTTTCCGGCTCTGAGAGGGTCGTCTCGTTACCCGGAAATCACTCATTCCCGGAAGTGCTCTGCACCGACTGTTACGGCTGACGGGGATATCGCTGTATACCTATTATAGCTCTGCTCTAGGTCACACGCCCTTCTGTGTTCCTTGCAAAGTGTGTGCTTAACATAATTCATTTATACTCTGGATCCTGGAGTTAGTCTGTGAAATTTTCTTCTAAGATGTACTGTACGGGTAAACTTCGATAAACAGTGTCCCGTTCCGCAATATTCAACTTTAACGATGGTCATGAACTAAGACCATCTCGCTGTATAGTATAAAAAAAAATATCTTTAACGATATCCATTGGTTGAATTTTTGTTATCTCTTGTGCAAACTATTTTTTTATGTCAAGTCAGTGACATTTTACAGTATAAGGAAACAATATTTAACCCCATGCACCACCATAGGTAACACATCTCTGGCTGCACGTGTCGGCCACAGTAATATCTACCTGCATGCCGCCACACGGTCAACCCGCACACTACAGTCACGTGTTTGGTTCTTTGTTGATCGCATCTGCCCGTCAATACGTAGCTCCACGCTTATTGTTCATCATCGTTGGCTGTATGTACAGTGTACTTATCGTCGGTGTTCTTTGTTTATTATATAGTGAGAAGACAGCACTAACATTTATACTGAACTGTGTTATGGTGACTGAAGTGATTTTTCTATAACTGTAAAGTGCTTCACCTCTGTTTTCATGAGCATATGAACTGTGATCTGTGTAGGTGACGTCTCCACTCCTCCTACAAGAGTCCCCTAAGCCTCAATGGGGACATGTGATGATGATCAGACTTGATATTCAGGATGTGACGAGTGTTCAATTGTTTCCTATTGACTTTATGAGTGTAGGAATTGTTTTGTTGGTGAACCGTGTGTTTGGGGCCTGGCTGGGAACATATCCCATTGAACCCCATGTTATAATGATCCCTGTCTACAATATTTCACATAGCGATGGGTTTTAAAGAACCTAACCCCATCATTTATCGAGGTTTACCTCTACGAGTATTTTTCCTGTAATGTACAACCTACAACAGCTGAGAACATTTTGTTTCAATTATCTTCAAACTTTGTTAATGGAACTCCTAGGTGGTCAAATACTTGTACTTTATAGAAATGTCAAATGTCTTTTCTCTCCCTCTTAGTTAGTAGTGTATTATGTAACTTGTATTATCTGTTATTATGCCTTAGATGACAAGGTTGAGGAGGTACTGTCTCACCATCTGTGTTCAGTACAGTAACTAATGCTCTCTTGAGACTGGTGTAACTCAACCTCATGCACACCCTCAGTTGATGAACCCAATCAAGTCTCATATCAGTATTTGATGGCTCTGGTTAATTTAATTATTTGGTCAATATTTGACATAAGTTCAACTGTATATTTGTAAATTATATTTATTTACCCACAAAAATACTGTGACTTATTACATATTATTTCAGGTGCCAGTACCAACTACTTGTTTTGGCCAGCATGAGAACCCAAACTGGCCCTGTGGTGACCTCAGACCGTACTCCTGTGGACGCAAGTGTGGGCGTTCACTTGACTGCACCAACCACACCTGCGACCTGGAGTGTCACATGGTGGAGAGCGCGCCCGATGATAAACGGGCTGGCTCCAACTGTGCACCTTGTGAAAAAATTTGCTCAAAGGTTTGATCCATTATATGTTATTAAACTGGCAAATTGTAGTACAGTAGTTCGTACCTTTTTTCCTGAGGAATGATGAAAGAGCCTCAAGACTCTTTCGTAATTTTGTATATATCACTCAGATGAAGAGTGAGGAGAACGTGGATATGCACAACTGATTATATCAAGATTACATATTAAGGGTCATTGAGAATATGTAGGAGCTCTTATGGTCATCACTATCATCATCCTTTATCGTGTGTGCTGTTCTCACCTGGTTACTCAATGGCAGCAAGTTTTTAGTCTTATTTTATATGTGGATGTTTGTTTTATTAATGGGTGTTGTTTCTCTCTAGCCACGACTGGGAGGCTGCAACCATGAGTGTGGGAAGCCTTGTCATCCGGGAGAGTGCAAAGAATGTGAGAAACACCTGAAAATTAAATGTCATTGTGGTCTTAGTCAATTGTATGTAAAGTGTCACCTCTGGAATAGTGCCACAGATGGGAAGGAAAAAATGCGGAGTTGTAAAAACCAGTGTAACAAATTGGTAAGTTTGCCATAGAAATCAGTTTAACAAATTGCCATCTGTTTGTGAAAATGTGTAGTAACTGCTAATATGCAGTCAGTTCTGCTGCAACGCGATAGTTGTGTTCTTGTAAAACCTCGCTTTGTAGAAATTTGCTCAATAGAAATAACAGGACTTATGGAGAAAATAGGGTTAGGTGCAGATTACTCGAAATCAAATTTTTTTTTAGTAGTTAGCTTAACACAAAGGATAGCAGTCTAAATAAATATTACATTCATATCTACTAATGAAATCATACAGTAAATGTAACACTTTACCTTGGAAAAATATGAATATAACTTGATGGGGGAGAAGGGTGATTTTGAGGTTGATAACATAAAGCTTCTCTTCAAGGGTTATAGCCTTTCTTTAACGATCACCACCGGGAATGTGATCACCAGAACGCCTCTTGGAGATATTCTTCTTTACCATATTCACAGTTAATACCACAAAATTGGAGAAATAGTAAACAAAAATCACTGAGGACGCTTCAAAACAACCCACGTGTTTCAACTGATCGTGTGATGGAAACAGAGAGCGCGGGTGTAAAAGGCTATTAGTCCGCACTGCCAAACATTATTATTATTATTTTTTTCATGCAGTATTTATGGGAACAGCTAAATTTGCAAAAAAAGGATGAAATTTATTGAGTCCCTATCAAATAAGACTTCACGAACAAAGCACATGAATCAATTGAACATCTGATGTCGAACGTGAACTGTAAACACTGCATAACCCCACGCCAAGCGACAGTATGCTTAAAACATTCGAGTGAAATCGTGTTACAGCCAACACACATTCACGTTTTACAAATATCGTTCTTCTATTCATCAATCGTGTTATACCCAATTCGCGTTGACAAAACACGCGTTGTAGCAGAAATGACTAACTGTTTTTGTTATGCAGGCAAATTTTGAGATCTAAAACTCTTTAATAATAAAAAAATTCTTATGATTTGTTCTTCACCTTATCAGTTCAGCATTACCTTATATTCCACATTGTTTCAAGATATCTTGCAACCACCGATGCACGAAGGACTGCCACACTGGGCCCTGCAGTCTACCAGAGAATTGCCACAAGCGTGTAGCGGTCCGCTGCCCCTGCAAGAGACAGAGGAAAGACTTCTTCTGTAACCTGATGGTGGCTGGGAAGGTCAGCCTTGAGTGTGATGATGTGTGTATCACCAGGATGAAGGAAAAGAAGAAGGTACAGTATTATATTGTTAAGCTGCTGGGGGAAAGAAGGACTTGTCAAGTTTTATATATATACAACATCTTCCATGGTTTTGTGTTAAAATACTTTATATGTTATTAATAATGAGGGATTTCAATTACTGTTTCATGTAAGTGAGAGTATTTTGTATGTGTGGTCATGTTAGTGAGAGCATTTTGTGTGTGTGGTCATGTTAGTGAGAGCATTTTGTGTGTGTGGTCATGTTAGTGAGAGCATTTTGTGTGTGTGGTCATGTTAGTGAGAGCATTTTGTGTGTGTGGTCATGTTAGTGAGAGCATTTTGTGTGTTGTGTCATTAAGCCAGAGCATGTTGGTATATAGATGACAACTTGACAAATTCTTGTAATATATTGGTAATTTTCTTTTGTTTTTTGTAACTGTTAACCAGAAATCTAAAAACTTCTGGTTAAATTGTCAAATTGTTACACATTTGTCAGTGGTGTATAATAATAATGGCTCTCTCTCTCTCTCTGTCATGTATTACAACAACATCCTCTTCACGGTGAAGACTTCACTTGTGTCATGTTAACACCCGCAAGCCTTTCTTCATTACTAGTTTGTTTTGTTATTTTTTCTGTGGGTAATATTATTGGTTATTATTATCTGTAATATTATTGTGGCATCTAAAAGGACAGAGGGATGATGCAGTGAGGGAATCTGTTGTTGAAGGGGATGGTCTTGAGGTTAGAAGGTGGAGTTGGTGTACAGTACAGCGTCTGGTGGTCAAGTGGGCACTAGTTTGAGAAAAAAGAACAAACATAATGGCTGGAGTGCCCCACAGTGTTGTTTGTGACACTTGATCCAAAAATAAAAGTTCAGATGTGTAATAAAGTGAGTGTGAGGCCATTCACCTCTAGTGTGAGCATCATTAACTTTATCATCACATGTTTATTAATCTTTGAAATAATGTTATTTTTTGTGCGGTGGGAACCTATTTCCTTTTCTCCATACGCCCTTAGTATCGGTAATAATGGTTTGTCCGTTGACAGCGATCTTGGTCGTAACTCATGCGAATATTGAAGGTCCTCTTCTGTGATGTTATGCCTGGGTGTGTGAGTCAGGGAAGCTTATTTTGACTGAGGGGGAAGAGAGTCAGAGTCATTGTAGACATATTATATACTATACTGTATGTGGCACTGCATTGGTTTGTTGGTTTTCACTTCTCCAAACTGTAGGCAGGTGACTCTGCTTCTCTGTGACTGGTAGGTTAATCCAATTTACATCCTCTGTTGTTAGGTTGGAAGCTTTCATCTCAGTCACCGTCATTTATAGCTGTCATCATGAAAATATTGGGTTATTAACTGTAACAGTATTCTAAATATATATATTTTTCAGGCACAAGAAGAAGAAGAAAGAAAGAAAATAGAGGAAGAAAAGGCAAAGCAGAAGAGAGAACTGGAAGAATTTGAAAGGAAGATGGAGGGACGGAAGCACAGACGTCGCAACAGGCGGCAACAAGAAACCGAAGCAGAACCAACTTTCTGGCAAAAATACGGGAAATTTATAATGGCCGGCTGTGTATTATTAACTGCAGGGACAATCTATGTGGTAATTAATAAGTAATATTATTGATCTGGTCTGGTCTGGTCTTAACAACTCAATAACCTGTCTTTCGTATCTCATTTCTTGACGTCAAATTTATTCGGTAATTTTTTAGCAAAGATCGTGCCTCTGATTTATACAGTACATGGGATAATGCTTCGATCAACCTCGCCTACAATGAATTCACGTAAACTGATCTTAATTTCTTCGGGGAGAAAAAGTGGAGTTCATTTGTGGGTCTTAAGATAATTTTTATTATTCCCAGAATCTCAGTTTTTAGATGAACCTTATTCAACCCCCATAGATCACTTAAGGACACATGCCGTACTTAACACAAATATTCCGATAATAGACTCCTTTCCCCACGTGCTGCAGGTATGTACAGTGTTTATTTACAAACATCGCCTGTCATTAAACTTTATTGCTCAGGTAGGGTATTTTACACATGACCCATTGGTGACTCCTCAAGTGAGAGTAGTTTGAGTGGTGTGCTGGAGAATGACGCTACTGAATATGATTTGAAAAATATTAAAAATAGAATTATATTATATTTTTTTCAAACAAATGGAAGGAATAGCAGTACATTTTAGAGGGGATACTTCTCATGACCAATTATTGTACGAGTGTGTACCTTCACTACACCTATGAGTTATGTTAAGAGTTTCTCTCCTCTGATCAGCTGCCACAAAAGTACACCGGAAACTTTCAATCCAGCTCAGTTCTTGCTTTATGATATCTATTCAAAATACTATGGAAAAGAAGCTGTTCAATGCCTCAGCTTTGTCCTGGTCAGACTCTGCGTAACTACCATCTTCAAGCCTCGGGTCTGATACGCCTACTCGCGTTTTAAGGACCGAGTGGGCATATGATCCTTTATTCACAGTAAGGTACAGTGTACACTCGGTAAAAACTACCGTACAGGTCGGGTCAGATGAATTTTGAATTGAACAATCCACACGCAGGGCTACCAGGCCTTTATCAAAAGCCTTCGTTGGTGGTGTCATTTTGTTTTGCACAAAAAGTATAACGATATTTTTTTTCCCGAGTGTACACAGAGATAGCACATGCTGTAGATACCAACAACTCATCGAGGAGAATAAAAAATAAATAAAAAATAAACAAACAAGACAACTCAAACTTTCTTTGGGGCTGCAATAACACGCCGTTCTAGATGGCCTGGTTTGTTTTTTAACTTTTATTTACTTATATTCTCTTCTCCAGTCCTCATCTACGAATACAGTATATCTCTTTGTGCTATCACTGTGTACACTGTATCTCTCTATGAATGGTGGGTTGTAGGCACAGTTTCAGTCCTTGAGAAAGCACACTCACTCAAAAGAGAGAAATTCTTTGTGGCGTCAATAATACGACTTGGTTACCGCCATAGAGTGAGAGAAGCCTAGGTCGCGTGAAATGGTTGCGACCGTTTTTCCATTTTCATATTTCATTATTATTTTCATTGTCATCTCAAAAGTAATTGACTGTCTCTTTTTCTTCTGAGCACCACCACAACTCTCACTTGTACACTTGCCAGTCATTCTAAAGGGAATTAGAAACAAAAATATTGTCAGTACACAGCGCGATCACTACCGACAACGACGACGGCCAAACACCAACTGAGCGCGCTATGGCGTGGACGCTGTAGCCACGAGGCGATCCAGCCCACGCGACGCTCTCGTATGGGACGGAAACGTTTCAGTCCTAGAAAATATGCGCGTCATTTGAAAAAATTTTGGTACGACTGCGGAGGTCGTATGTCCAGGTGGTCGTAAGTCGAGGAGTACCTGTATACAATCGTGAATGACGTTAAAAATCCTACATTGATTTACACTTTCACATGACTAAGACGATCATGATGACCTTATATAATCACTGTCCAATTTCTGCCGCTCAACAACGAAGGCCAGAGTGCCAACACGGTCTGTTACAGAGACGCAACACGACCCGACCTGCACGACACCATCTGGCCTTACTTACAATGTTCTCTTGAAGATGTTCATTAATCTTCATACTGTATTTGTACAGTTGTGAGGAATTGTTCTGCCTCCTGTTTTAGAGAGCTTTAGTACTAGACTGTGGTGGGAAATGTTTGTGTGGGAAGGTTCTTATTTCTTTATTGATATTCTTGATTTTAATATATGCAGTATGTTATGTATCCATATACTTAGATAATTATATCCAAGTTTCATGTCCTTCAACAGTGTAAGTTTTTTTCTTTATCAAATAAAAGGTGAAATTTGAAGAAAACAAAAACTAATCGAGATAACGGCCACATCCTTCGGCCGATTAAGCTGAAAAAATTACCAGATACTCCGGACATTATTCTTGAGACATCCATTAAGGTGGAATTTTGATTTTCCTTATAATTTACTGGAGAGAAATAACCAAATGTTCTTCCTTGTCTGGAATATATTTGTAATTATTAAAAAAAAGAAAAAAGGCATTTTCTTCTCTTTAAAATAACATATAGTTCATTAAAATTGTGCCTGTAGTTTTGGAGTTATCTCTAGAAACAGTTCAGTTTCTTAGTTCTCGACATAAGGTCTTCAAAGTTTTTTGTTGCCCTCATTTCTTACACTCCTTAAAACCTGTCCAATTTCTACTGGATTTGCAGATAATTATCAGACATCATTCTAGATCATTCATATTACATTCCAGAGTCTATACCATAGATCTGGCATCTGGTCCCCCCTTCTAAAAGGTATAAGTCGCTAGACAGCGAGGGTGTCAGGAGGTGCCACCTCCCTCACTGTAGCCAGGTTTGATGAAATTTGAAGCCACCAGGCCAATAACCTTCACTGAATGACTGCTTGAGCTTCTTTGTGGTGTTGCTGACTCTGCCTCCTGGGGCTGAAGTGCTTTCAGGATGTCTGGATGAGTCCCGAATATTTTCGTCAACACGATAGCCTTGTACCTGAAGCTGTGGTTTACACTAGTGACTCTGGCCAGAAAGGTCACTCAAAAACGTCCAGCAAACTTCGTCAAGGGGCATTCAGCCCATAACTTGGAGTGAAGAGCCTCGTTCGCATTTTGCGTTCTTCTCTTCAGGCATTTATTGAGGTGGTCTGGAGCTGTCAATTCCCTGTACACACTCTTTATGATTTCCAGCATTTCATAAGGAATTTTAGCCAAGTACAGTTTCTTTGTATCATGATGTGCAGGTTTCTTCTTCAGTGCTGTTTCTCTGTTATACCAACACCACAAATCTGGACCTCTAGGGCATCAGTGGTGAGCAGGAGTCTTCAGTGGAAGTCAAATGGAAGTATGTGGCCCAAATTGCTTCCCGCATCTTCTTGACGTTGGTGTTCACATTATCACGAATGGCCTTGTCATAGTATGAAGAAAGGTGATTAATAACTTCATCTGTGAGCAAGTGGGCATCACCAAGAGCACTGTGCTTCATAGTCTTGCCAGTCTTGGTTGTACTGTAAGTTGCGACTTATAAGTCGACATTTTAAGCTTGGAAAAATCTCTCCAATACCAGAGGTCGACTTATACGCCAAGTATAAAATGTGAAGCTGTACCACAGAGTGGTAAACAAGTGGAACAGCCTGCCTAACACTGCATCACTTAGCGTAACTCCCGTGGCCTGCCGCTAATATTTCCTACTGAAATTCATGTTTGGTAAACTTATTTAACATAAAGATTATAATAAAATAGCAAATTCCAGTATAATTAAACCAACACAACACCACACGCCATTTCCAACAGCTGATGCACAGTAAACAATGGATCAGAACGTCACTAAGCCCAGGCGGCCAGCCAGACAGCTACCTGCTACTACAATATGGTGCCATCTGTCCAATTTTATGATAGCGCTATAGATTGAGTTCACATATACTACAGAAATAATGACAGTTTAATGAATATACACACAATGACATTATTACTGTACCTATATGGTTTAGTAAATTGCCATGTAGGCTTATTCGGTGCATGGGGAGTTCAATAAGTGGATGACAGTCTAAGCTGTGTGCCGACAGTGTAACGGACCCATTCTTTTGCAGCTGGCCGCATGGGGTGGTGGTGCCATTGGCAGTTTGTATACACCACCTGATGCAAATGGCTGATCGTAAGCCAGGTGTACCATAATGTTCTACCGTATATAGCGGTACTATCGAGGTGCTATACTGATATGATGTGTAAAGAATTAATATTTTATTGGAGGTGCTGATTTTGGCTTGGTGTTTACCAGAGGTCTTATGAAGATAACTTACTGAAGATTTTTAGCGGTTGCTTGCTGTCCTACGTAGATCCTGTTGCCCACTTCCCTTTTTGTATGAACTATATAATATATATATAAAATATTGAAAGGTATTACAGTAAGTGTCTTGATGAAAGTGGCGTGGTCTTATTACATACTTTGGCCTATGTTTGGGCCTTGAGGGGGTTGACTTATACGGCCAGTATAGAACTAAACCTGAATTTTGAACTAAAAATCTTGAGGTCGACTTATACACCGCAACTTACGGTAATCATCTCACTTGTCTCCTTCTTGATCTTTCAAAGTTTGGTGCCCATCCTCTTGCTGACATGTTTTATACACTCTTCTTTGGTGACAGGGACATTGTAAGAGCCACGCCCTCCATTCAGCTCACACACAGACTTGTAAGAACTTGAGTCACCATCACCAACGAAGGTTACATAACGCAGGCGGTGTTCAGTGGAGTGAGACCAAAGATGAACTGCTCCCTCAGTCTCCATTGCACCTGATTTCCTGTTGAAGTTCTTGTGACAGGTGAGTTTTCTGGGCTTCTTTTGTTTTTCTTGTTCTTGTGTGAAAGTTGGGCAGTAGTTGCACATCACTTCCATGTCAAACACGATTTCCATGTTGACTTCAATAATAAAACACACCAATGTGTTACTAATCCCCCCTGGTCATCCAGGTGCCATCATAAGACACTTTGATGTTCAGGATGCCATCTGCATCTGGTTGTGCAAGATCTTGTTGGGTGTAATAGTTGAAGATGGCTTCTCTTGCACTCTGCATTACAGAAGTGTAGTGTTTCCCCATTCCTTAGAACAGGTAAGTGCAGTGTCGTGAGTATCTGGCAGCCAAGAAACTCTCTCCTGCAGATACGCCAGTGCTCTCCTGAAGCCCAGCACGTCCCACTCCGGTCACTAGACTGAAGTATACCTGCAGTAGGTTCGATTCAGTGTAATTCTGCCATGGGGAAGTGCTTTTGGTGACGGGAGGAGCGTGGCAAAACTTGGTGTTACAAGTGTTACAGGTGACATACACAGTAGTATTCCATATGTCAAAAGTTAGGGTAGCAGTAACATTACCCCTACAGTTTCTCTTTGGGCATTTCAGCGTTGCCACCATCGCCTGTAACTGTGAGCCCAACACTGTATTTTCTCTCATAAGATATATTAGACTGTGGAATCATCCCTTTGAGTAAATCCTGACGTCTCTTGTGGCTTGTTGTGGTTTTTACTGGCAATGCTGCTGTTGATGGTTGTGGTGTTGCTAAGGCAGTTGCAGACATGGAGGGTTGTGGTGAGGGAGGCAGGAAGGGCATGACAGGTTGTGGTGGAGGCAGGGGAGTTCACCATGATGCTGTATGGTAGAAAAATCGCTTAGCTAAGGATGGAAATAGCGCAGAGAGCGCGAGGCAGGAGAGAGCTCAGCGTGTCTGCTGCCGGCCAGTTGATTCCATTGCTATATACAGTACATGTGTATACCCCTGCTGATGTACGATAATTTACTTGGGATGCCAGTGATCGCCGCACGAGATCAAATTCTTGATTTGTTTTTTAGTAATAAATAAATATATATCTACTACTATTACTGATATATGCGTGCGACATTTTGAGCCTTGCAACATGTCATGAGGGGGGAGGGGGTAAGAAAAAGAGCCATAATTTGATTATTTCTGATAATTTAATGCTAAAACTCAGCCACAATAATTTTAAAGCCAACACAGAGCTGGGGATTTTTTTCTAAATACAGTATTTCGTAATTTTTCAAATATTCGCCGAAAATTAAGAGCGGACAGTCGCCTCAAGTAATAGTGTGACTGTACGTGTCATATATGTATTAAAACATTTCTTAAATTAAACAAATATTTTTTAATGATGATGAACATAGTGAAATAAAGTACAGTAAGTCACATACTCACCAATGCAGTAGGTCAAACTTACATATGATTGGCCACTGTCTTGTGTTATTTTGTAACACAATCTTGCTCCTGCCTGCTAGTGGTGGTAAATGAGTTAAGCCTGGAGGATGGGCCAGACTGGCTCTTTCTCCTTACAAGTGGCAGACTTCATGAACAAGGAAATCGGGATGGGCCACCTTGCTCACATGCCAGTGATCGCACCCCTCACCTGTCTCCACACATTATAACACCCTTATTAATATTTTACATCCATCTTGAGGCATTTCCTTGACTGCCTGACCATATTACTTGCACAACTTTTTCCTGACATTATGGGTTCAAAATTAAGTTAAAAAGAGTTAGTACCAGAGTAAACACACATCTGTGAGAAGCTTTCAAAACTGGTGGAGGTGGTCACTGGTTGGCCGAGTGGTAGGCTGTGTACGTCACTATTGGCCGAGTGGTAGTCTGTGTACTTCACTATTGGCCGAGTGGTAGTCTGTGTACGTCACTATTGGCCGAGTGGTCTGTGTACGTACTATTGGCTGAGCGTCTGAGCCAGAGAAAAGAGGAGAATTTTGCACAGTTTTGAGAGAATCTTTTGAACTCTTTAATATATTTTTTATACAGTATATTAAAAATTTCATCTAGACCATCGAGTATTATAATGACTACCATTGTAGGAGGTGTGCCTGTTGTAGGTGGTGATAGTGTTGACCTTTGAGCACTGTATCCAGTTCCTGCCCAGTAAATACTGTGGAGAAATGAGTATTTTCTTACCACATACAGTATAGCACCACAATTTCTTTCATATAAAACTGAATCAGCCTAATTCCAATGCTTGGTTTAAAATTACCAGTAAGTGGTACATTACATAAAAATTGCACAGACAGAGTTTCTTCAAATCTTAGGTATACTTTTGTACTGTAAGCAGGTCCTCATACCCAGTAAGACAGTGTTGGTTGGTAAGAGAGAGTGGTACAGTATAAGGTTCAGAGTTGTAACCCTGTGATGTAATTACAAGGAACATCATATTATTAAGAACAGGCTCTTCGTCCTCTTGGATTATAGGATACCAGTCGCTGCTTCTCTTAGCCACCTCTTCTTCCTCCTTAAAATAATATGTAAAAGTTCAGGACCTCCTTTGTTTGTCTTAGGTCCAGACCACTCAACTGATACTCCCACAACCAGGGCCATCCCTAGGAAGGTGTGGGGCCCTGGGAAACTCAGCCACTGCGGGGCCCCAGAAAAAATATATATGTCTCTGTCTCTGCTTGCCATGTTTCTTACACACAAAAAAGTATATCCACAAAACTCAAAAGGCAGGAGTCACAGCTCACAGGACAGGACACAACCTGATCTCACTGGTTACTGACCCTGGTGGACTGGCTGTGTGGAGTGGAGTGCAGATTATGCGGTCAGAGGAACCCACCCCCACCAACCCCCATGGGACTGTCGCTGTGGATGGTAAGGTCATGGTTGCGATGGTGGCATAAGCTGTCAGGTCAGATTAACCAGTCAACAGGTAGTGTCCAAGGTCACTGGGTTTAGTGCTGGTGGGCGGTCGACCCTGTTCCCCCTAAAGGACGGGCCTGTCCACAACCTACTGCTAATACCTCCACTGAAACTATTGAAAGTTCAAGGATCATCACTAAACTCCTCCATAATGCACCTGATGCCAACTATGATGGTGTATCACGTACTGTACATTTCTCTCTTGGTCCTTCATCTTGGTTGCAGTTTTCTTTTGGTTCAACTCTGATCAAGATTGTGGTACAATTCTAGTGTGATGTTCCTTGTAATTACACGAGTCATTACAACTCTGAACCTGATGCTATACCTCACTGATTTACCAACCAACGCTGCCTTACCGAGTGTGAAGGCCTGTTTACGGTACGGTGTAGGCGTCACCGTAAATAAAGATCGCGTACGGTCGCGGAAAAAAGGCGTCAGTCCTCCGTCCCTTTCGTGAACCTGTGAACCCGAAACATGACACTTTGTTGGGCCCATAGATGGCGCACTGGGTCATTTTATGTCTCGGATCAACTGGTTAGAAAGATTTTATTGCATATTGATATATTTAAATATACAGAATCATATTGACAGACGAAAAAACATGTTTGATAATACAAAATGTGTGTTGGTTGCCATCTCCATAAGGTGATATGTCTCTATGACCAATAGACAAACATTTTGTTAGTACAGTATGTCTAAATATGTCGGTAAGCAATAGAGTCTTTCTTTCATGTCCACAGTCTTTATTTGAAGGATTGACCACACACTCTGCTCATGCTGTACTTGACATTTGTTCACAGCTGATATAGGTAGTTATTCTAACAGTACAATATAGAGTATACCCGTGTTGGTATGTGGTTTCTGTTTAAAGTCAGTCAATAATATTATTTTCATGTTACTTGTAACTGACAGGATCATGTAATGTATCTGTAGCTGTGTTTGCTTCTCTACAGAATACTACATGAATTTAATGTTGGTGCGGGAAGTACAGCACGTAAATGATGATTGTTGTTACTGACTCATTATATGACAGATCATTAAAATTCCCTACGAAATAAAGAGTATGACAGCGCTGTGTTGCCTTCAGGGAGTTCCCTTTATTAATTAAGAATTTTTTACTTGTTTCCTTTTATGTTTGACAAACTACAGAAGGAATCACTCCTAGTTTTAGAGTCAGAATTGTTCACGAAATCCACAAGGATAAATTCCTCCTTGCTGTGTTCGTTGTTCAAATGTTCACCTTCAACAACCATCACTTAGTTAACTCACTGCTAGAGAAGATATTTTCTGAGAATGTTAAAAATAGTGTAAAACAGTTGCATAATTTTTATGTAGTGGCTTCACACTTGTTGACACAATTTCTGTAAGTTTGTATTATTAGTAATTTTTTAGTTTTTCTACTACAGTCATGTATTTTGAAATAATACGCAATTTGCACAACTGGGAAATATAATGAAAGAATAGATTGAAAAGACTTTGATTGTAAAACACTTAATAGAGCTTCACATAAAATACTTGATCTGATGTGAGTGTTTGAGAATCCTTATTCAGGCAGTAGTACATCACTTATCAGGAGTAGGTGGGGTAGAGGGTCAGTAGTACAGTACATCACCATTCAGGATGATGTATCAAAGTATTGTTTCAGTGATAATGACAACTAGGATCCCATTTCCTTTATTATGGAGTAAACTAATATGGAATAAACTGTTGAAATAAAATAAATATATATAATGACAGCATGTACAGTGCAGTATTTAGGGTCAAAACCTCTTTCATGAAAAGTACCATGTTGAACTGTTTACTGCATTAATAGTTCACTTCTAATACCAGAGGGAGGAAACTACTTCAGTACTATACGTATTAAAAAATTGCAGGAAATAAGCAATAAGGGAGACAAATTACTGTACTGTATTGGCATGTTCATAACTATCTTTAGTGGGGTTTGGAGGATAAATGCTCGTTAGTGGTTGAGAAATGTTTGTTTTAAGATTGTAAACTATTATGCTTCGCCCTTTAGGAGTGAAATGTGTCTGTGTGCTGAATTAAGTATTACAAGTGGTGTCGTTCAGCAGTGAGGAGAGGAACTATTTCTATCATCTGAGGGTGAAAACATTGTATCTAGAACTTGAGAAATGAGGATTAACAAACATTGTAAAAGGAATAACTGTCTAAATGAGTCCCATGAATTTCTAAATGATCAGTACAACCCGTGTTGGCTCGGTATGGTTGTCAAAATCTTTTGTCTATGGTGTCTTAGTGTTTCATACAAACTGTGGATAGATACATTATTTTTACTGTGTACAACAAAATTTAATTACAGTGAGTTCTGCTATAACGCGTGTTTTGACAACGCGAATTTGCTCTAACGCGATTTATGAATAGAGGAGCGATATTTGTATAACGCGAACGCTTGTTTGGTGTAACGCGATTTTTGCTCACTATTTCTCCAATTTTGTGGTATTAACAGGTGAATATGGTAAAGAAGAATATCTCCAAGAAGCGTTCTGGTGATCGCATTCCCGGTGATGATCGTAAAAGAAAGGCTATAACCCTCGAAGAGAAGCTCGATGTTATCAACTTCAAAATCACCCTTCTCCCCCATCAAGTTATATCATATTTTTCAAGGTAAAGTGTTACATTTACATTATGATTTCATTAATTAGATATGAATGTAACATTTATTTAGACTGTGCTATCCTTTGTGTTAGGCTACCTACTAAATTTTTTTTCGATTTCAAGTAGTAATCTGCACCTAACCCTATTTTCTCCATAAGTCCTGTTATTTCTATTACGCGAATTTCTATAACACGATGTTTTACAAGAACACAACTATCGCGTTTTAGCAGAACTGACTGTATAGTATTTCAAAAGCAATTGGCAAGATTTATCACAAGAATCTCAATTTTTTTTACTGCAGAAACTATATTGGCATATTCAGAAGTCCAGTCCAGTCCAAAACAATAATGGAGGGACAGTGAGGATCAGGGCGCCCGAACAATCCCTGCTCCCCCTATGACTCGCTTGTTAAGTACACCAATTCCCCCATTAATATCCTTGTTAGGTTCCTGAAAACCAGGACGTTAAGTGACTACAATTTTACCATAGAGACAATGATATAAATAGGGGTTATGTTCCTTGGGTACATTTATGGTCAAAATTTTCTCACAACTTGCCACAAGTGTTTCACTTTCATCAGTATCACCTTGTTTTAAAGTTTCAATTAAACTTCGAGCTTTTGCCTGTGTGGAGAGCAATGAACAGGAAGAGTTTCAATAATGTTGATCCTTGATCCACATGTTCAGCATTCTTTCCATACCACTTCTGTCACCAGTTAATACTTTCTACCAGATAATGGAGTAACACCGAGAGCACTTACTATGTCCACAGCTCACTGTCCTTCTTCAAATTTCTTTACCACATCTAATTTAACTTATAATGTAACACTTTTCCTCTTCTTTCTGTGGCCACAACCAGTAGTGGTGCACAATGCATGTTTAGCACCCATTGTTCTAGGGCTCAAATAAATCTATAATTGAATTTTGAGTGAATGTTGGAAGAGCATCAACCAACCACCGAACAATAACAAACAAATATGGTGCCAACACTGGTCGCTTACACAGCCAACTGTTATTACAATCAGGCGCTGAGCAATTTTGTACCAAATTTTTTAAATTGTCGCACATTTATAATTTTCATACATATTTTATTTTTTTTAATGATGTTAAAACAACGTTGACTGAAATAATGTTAATGGGGGAATCGGTGTAGTTGGAACTCTCGTGGCCCAGGAAGTGTAATGTCAGCTTTGACGTTGAAGCGTATTTAACCGACTTGACCGATGTAAGTTGTATTCCAAAGAACTGGAATCGGCAGGCAACTACAGCTCCTCCCCGACTTATGACGGGGTTAGGGACCCAAATCCAGGTTGTAGTCGAAAATGCTTAAATAATACATAGAAAATCTAAAATGGGTGTCTCTCTTCTCAGTACCACAAAACTCTCACTTTTAAGCTTGCCAGCCATTTTAAAGTGAATTACAAACAAAAATTTTGTCAGTACACAACACAATCACTGATGTTGGGACTCGAAAATACGTAATTTGACAAAATTTTGGTACGAATGAGGCAGGTCGTAAGTGCTGGTGGTCGTAAATCGAGTAGGTCATAAGTCGGGGAGGAGCTGTACATATAATTGGAGGTAAGTTGACTTTACACCTTGGAAAGTCAATTCTTACCAGAGAGGCGGGACATTTCTCAACACTCACATTAAACATAGTCAATATGTAAGTCATTATTTTGGATATTCCTTGTGTTTACTTTAGAAGGATAAAGAGAAGATATTAGGTAATGTTAATTTTATTACATATGTGAAGTTTATTTACTCAGTGTCCACTCTCCCCCTCAGGCCTCCATTACTGTCTTTCTCAGACATGATAGAAATTTTTATCCCCCAAATTTTCCATTATCCAGGAAAAAAAATTGAACATTCTGAGAAAATCTTAACATTCCTGGTATTTGAATGAATTATTGAGAGATTGCATCATGCGCCGACACGTGCCGAGTGAATGGGTGGGTAGGCAGGCTCAGCGTACTACAACTGGTTACTACTGTAAGGGATGCTTATGATTGGCTGGTGTATCTGTCTCCTCATTCTTGCATCATGACATTCTTAGTCCATAGTCTTCTGCCATTGTAAAAATTTGTTTGCTTGTGCACTGCAGTTTTTACATACAATCTATGTTGTGCAGTACTGTACATCACTGTACCCGGATGAAATCAGCCAAGAATACCGTTAAAACAGTGTTAAGACGTAAAAAGTGATTAGTTACGTATACTGTACTATAAATTCAGTAAGTGTGAAAGTACAGTATGTATAGTACTGTACAGAGCAGAGTGGACAGTGTCTGCCTACTGTAGGCTAGTGTAGGTGTATGTACAGTCACCCAAAAAAGTCCTGTCGCGAACCATGAACCCCGAGATTCACTCTTGAATCTGAAGCATTTATGGACAGAATACTGTATCAGTGTATACTGCTTCGGGTTCACGAGTCTGAATCTCGGGTTTCGTGGTTCGCGACAGGATGTTTTTGGGAGACTACATTATACAGTATGTGTGCAAGCCTTCATTCATGGAGGAAAAGGAGAGTGACAGCAACACCAGTTACCACAGTACAGGACAGACAGGCCATCCTGTAATATCACATCAACATTTGGCCTGCCTGCATCTCAAGCTCAAGACATCATCTACTGGTGAGTGAAGTATAGTGCACTGTATACAGTGCAGTAGTATATTTTGTTTATTTTCAATATATTGTATGTGTACAGTAGTACAGTACAGTAATGTATTTGCATAAATACTGTACAGTTGTGTCTGTCCACCTGCAGTTAAGCCTCTGTAGCAATGGCGGTCTGTGTGAGGTGCATACTGTAGTTTAGACACTGAAACATTCACCATTGTCCGGAAATTTCTCTGCACTAATTATTCTGGTTAACGGGAAGATTGATGTATTCATGCCAGGACCACCACCCACCTGTATTGTCTTGGCTGGGCCATGAGAGTGGGTGATAGTTGCAACTACATAACTACCATTTTATTGGGGGACTTTTGAGACTTGTTTGGGCCCCTGGCTTTTCACTGGTCTGACTTCGACGCCTACAGTGTCCCTCGATTATTGTTTTTGACAACCTTTGGTGAATCTGATTAAATGCTATACTGTCCATGAAAACGCATAAAATCTTAACTTTCTGAGAACACAACCCACAGCAGGAGTGAGACAGAGTGCCCTGGCATCCCAGGACTTGTCCAGCAACTGTAGTGATATATTTTTCATGGACCAAATTTAAATTTTCATGCTTTGTTTTTGCTTAGCATCTTTGTGGATACTTTTCATTGATTCTGGAGACAAGGATGACAGAAGATAACTTTCCTCAAGATCTGACTAGTGATGCCAGTGAATCTTGGAAGAATTTGAGATGGTGGGGCAGATGTGTCCACCCAGGAGACTCCTACATGGGATCAGAGTTTACTTCTTTACTCCCCCACCCACCTCCTGACCCTCAACTTTGGTGGTGTAAATCAGGAGTATATTTTGTACAAGACGGTAAGATGCAAACTATTTAATATTAAAATAAAAAACAAAAATTTTTTTTTGGGGGAGAAATTGGAAATGAACACACTGAACTGTTTTACAAGTTATATTCCACCATCTGACGGTGATAAACCATTATCATAATTTACATGAAGAGAACAGCTAAGGAACAAAACTTAAAAAAATTAGGAAATTGCAATAAAATATGGTATTAATTTACCTACAGTAGTAGCCACCCATTAGAGGAGGCCATGCCGAGGGAAGGTGGCCAGTGTAGGATCCCTCCAGTGTTGTAGATTATTTTGTCAAGGACTATAGTGAAGCCCAGAACTGTTCTTGGCTCCACAGCTTGGGCTGGTAGGCCGGGCCATAGGTCTACCAGCCTCTGTGTGAAGAAGTATTTCCTTATGTTCGTTCTGCATGATAACTTGGTGAGCT